ACTAAACAGAGGTCTTTCATCATCACTATCACTAGAAGATTGTATCCCGGATATTCTTTATCACACGCGATTGATGCTATTACGTAATTTATGGGTGAATGTTGTGAAAGCGTAAAATTTTTTATAAATTGTACATCGATCGGCAAATTTTGATCAATTACAAATTATATGGACATAAGTTTCCGGATAAGCAATGCTTAGCACAAGTAAAAAGCGGTTATTAATATTAACTAATGTCCGTTTTATAGGTGCATTCGTTGATTTTGAGATATTCAAATAAACGATTGTATAAATTTAATTAAATTTGAAAATTAAAGTCTATGCGTTATTGGAGTAGCCATTAAGAAAAAATTAAGTTTACTTTACAAATAAAGAACCAATTAAAAAATAACCTTGAATGACCCGTTCGCAGTGTTATTTATATTAAATTAAACTTTATTTCTGAGAAATCTGTATAGCACCATCTCTTGTGGAAAATTAAACCTTGAGTTAGTCAAGATTTTTCGTGGGGCCAATTATGTTTCTGCCGAATGAATAAGTCGAGATTCACGGGGCATCTTCTTCAAAAATTCTTATCACTTAAAGAATGCCGTAGAGGTTAAATCGATACACAATTTGATTTTTAATTAATAAACTTCCTTGCAATGAATTAGGTTTAACAATTAAAGCAACGAAAAACATGTGTACAAAGTTCAATTAGTCAAAATAGACTTTGGGGGCAGATGCATAATAGATTTTATTAAAAATTCGGAGCCTAACTTCAACCTGAACTGAACTTGAAAGCTTGCAAGAATTTCAATAGGTAGTACATTGTTTATTCATAAAGATTCTTACACTACAATATATAAATAAATTGTAAATTTGCGACTGGATTTAACCTAAGAAAGAATATCAGTATAATTTCCTAGGTTTATGAAATTGATATGTAAAGAATTTCTTATTAGTACGTATTAATTAAGTTATACAAGACTAATTACTTTGCTTTAAAAAAAAAATACCAATCACCGAATTTGAAATTTGATTGCAGACTTGAAGAAGTCCAAAAATTTGACTTAGCAACAACCAAATTACTTTTGTAAGTTTCAATCAACAAAATAAATTTTAACTAGACTTTCAGATTACATCAGAAAAATTGCGATTTCGAAGATTATGAATAAACTTCTATAATGTTTGCATTGAAACCGTTCGATTTTCCCAAGGTTGGATTGATTCTTTATCGAATCAAATTTTACAATTCGAATAATTTAATTTGTGCAAGTAGTTATTATACAATGAACTCACAAAAGACATGTCAGAACTCTTCATCTTTATTGGACGCTGTTTCTTGTACAATCCGGTAACAATGTATCTAGAGAGCCGATACGAATTACATGTATTACGTTAGCATCGTAATATCGTAGATACGTATCTATAACGATATAACAAGAAAACAAGTACATGTACATAATTTGTACACTGTACGCATGCACATCTGATGTTTGAAATAGCATCGGTATCAGTCATATTTCATGGGAAAATTAGTATGCGATCAATAAAATTAAACATTAATTGCATCAAGATTCTATCTGCAGGAGTAATTTGCATTGTTTTTGTGCTTGTAAGAAGTAAATTCGTTCCTAACCTTGTGAACAAAACCCAATGACAATCACAACGATTACATGCAACCCTCTTTAAAAAGGAATTAGACTAATAAAACGAAATAAAGTTTTGATTGCGTTCTTTCATTACTAAATCTTACTCTGCATATCATCAGTCTTTTTAATTTGTCACAGCAGATTAAAAAAAACGTAAATTAATGGTCTCCTGTTACCATGTTAATCCGATTTTGTATTCTAAATTGTGAAACGGAAGTTTGAAAAGCGAATGGAAATTAATTTGATTTTGTATTTTTTTCTGAATTGTGAAACGGAAATTTGACAAACAAATGAAAAGTATTGATTATCGTTATTAATTCAATAGAAATTAAATTGATGCAAATTATTTAAAACTCGATGTTCTCAAGGTCCTCAGAGAACGTTTTGGCTTTTTTAAGAACATCGATTTGAGAACTTTATATAAGAATGAGATGTTTTCAGAGAATTTTTGTTCTCAATTCCATGATCGAGTACAATGAAATCGTACATGCTGTTCTCGTTTTGCATAACGATAATACTTGCCACCAATCATTTAATATTCCGCCACAAATGATAAGTTATATTGGTTAGGGAGTTTTGGAAAAAGGAGATAGATGGAAAAAAGGAAAATTAGTCTTATCTTTGTGGGCGCTTTCATTAGGTGGGTTCCGTAATAAAACGGCGAATTACTTGACATTTTTACACGTATTTTCTTACATAATCAATTTCAATTAGCTCATGAAGAATGGTGTAAACTCATTGAGAACATTAATAATTCATTTGAGAGCATAGCATGATGTTGAATTTTAAACACTGCCTGCAGAAAGCATTCTTTTCTAAAAATGACTTTATAGGGTTTTTTTATTATGTGTAAACTTAAAAGGTTGTAAATCATGCGTTATGCGTTGATGTATTTTATATCCCAATAAATAAGTTGGTACTTGGATCTTCAACATGTAATGGACCGAAAGATTCAATCTTCGATCGAGAAACCCACTTTCCTGTACTGTAACATATCTGGTATTATCTTGTACTGTACTGAATCACATTTTTACTTAATGCAGTTAACAAGGTACAGTATATGACATATTATACATGTATATGGTATACATCGGAAAAGAATTATTGGTTCAAAGTATAGGTTATTTTGAAAGAAACTATAACATATTTGGTACCGTGTAACACATATGTTATAACCCGTTTCGATTCCTATGTACAGTATTTCAAATCATGTACGTAATATCAAAAATGAATTATAACAAGCAGCTTTATTCAAAGCTCAACATAATGATACTCTTTCTAATGATGACTAATCAAAAATGCTCCGTTATACATAACGATGACTAATCAAATCTCGATATAATGATTTTTATAATAAATTCTCGATATAACCATATTTGCGGAATTTTCCACTATTTGTTCCCCGACGATATCGTTATTTTATCTGTCTGTTATTGTTATGTCACATTTCAGAAGAAGCCGCCAGTGTTGCGGAATTGTAAAACGATACGGATTAAGCCATTAAATAACGTTTTACTTAATCACGTTTAATGAATAGAGTTCCCATTCGACAGAGTATTCTATGATTATCCGTCTCTGTTTTCTTTTGCTTTCTTCTTTGTTGCTCTCTTTTTGTAAGGTGATTACTCGGCCAGAAAACGAATGACAGATGTGATAAGCGTCTCCTCCTCCGTAACCAAGCCAAATGATTAGTCCCTGTTGGACGTTCAACCAATAGGAATGTCTTGACCGAAAAAAATCTCTTTGTCGCAACCCATGGGTGATTAGTGAAATGCACATCGTACAAAGGCGCGAAAAAAATTAACATATGATACCGCGAGCAGTGGTGATCTTATTGACTATATCCTGTTTCTTCCAGGTATGTGTCTACACCCGTTGTACAATTATAGAGATTCATAGAGAGCTAAGCTATAAGGTAATATTCGTTATATCGAGAGAATTTAAATGCAATCGAAAGAAATGCAACGTCATCAAAATTTATTAAAATCGTGAAATATTCATTTTATACCTCGAAATCTCTATGGTGCATAACACCTAAAGTCATCAAACGTTTTGTATTTATAAAATGGATAAACCTCTTTACTAAGAAATAAATACAAAATTTATCCGTGAAAAGGGACTATTCTATCATATTCACGGATTAAATTTTGTATTTACTTCTTAGTAAAGATGTTTATCCATTATATAAACACAAACTTTTGATGACTTTAGATGTTATGCACCATAGAAATTTTTTTAAAAATAATTGACAACAGTTATCTTAATTTAAATCAAAATTTTCAATTAGTAAATTTCTCGAATTGAAACTTCCATAAAAATCAACTCAAAATTTATCGAGTTTTAAGACCTAAGGTCCGAATCTCTGCTAAAGCATTAATTGAGCGCTGACTATAGACAGTATCCCCCTATGCATAGTATCCTCCAACGATTTGAACGTCGATTTTGTAAAATACCCGGGTAGTATGCACAACACTACGTAGTAGTGTAGCATATATCATATATAGGAAATGGAATTTATTTTTTTAAAAAAAAGGGTACTTTTCATAGTTAAATTGATTTTCGAACTATAGTATCCCTCCCCCAGGTATAAGTGTGGAATGTAAAATATCCGGGATACTATAGTCAGCGCTCTAAGTATTTATTTACTAGCAGGATTTAACTTTCGGGATCTTAAATCTCAATAAAATTTTGTGCCAATTTTACAAAAATTGGTAAGTAGATTTCGTAGAGTATAACATTTTTTATTAGTGGTCCAAATTTGGTTTGATCTTGGAAAAAAAAGTTCTATAGGTCGAAATTTAATAATAGAATGATTAAAAAATACGCTATTGTCAAATTAATTTTAAAAAATACTAGAGGTTTCGATGTTTTATTTTGTTTGGATTTATATTGATGGAGATAAAAATTTTGATTGCGTGTTCCATTTCTTGGGAAGACGAAAAAATTTTTCAACTTACGTACTTTGCAATTTTCTCAGACTAAATCTAAACAATCCAAAAAAAAATATGCTAAAAATAAAAACTTTTATTAGTAAAATTGAAAACTTTTGTATAGGGAGAAATCCTGCGTTTTTATATGTTTTGTTAATGTCATTTCTCTATGAGCGACGCATAACACAAAATCTTAACGCGACTTTCGAATTTTATTTTCGAGTTAGCCACACATTAATTATAGCAAGAATTATCATCAAAGGATTTTGTACACAATAACAGATCTTGGTAATTTTGATCTCGTGAATAAATCCCAAAAATCAACAGCAAAAAATGGTTATATAATATCCTCGAATAGAGAGGTAGCTTTACAAAGCACATTTATTAATATTAGTATCTTTAAAAACTAAAGAGTCTTTGCCTCTCGGCCATTAATTTAAAATTCATCCTTTACGTAATTACCTTAAAAAAAAAGCAATTTATTAAGATATATTCAAAAGAAACACAATTAAAAAACAAAAAGAAGAAAAACTCACCAGGAAATTCTCCGATTTTATCATCAAGTCTTCCTAACCACCAATCATCCGGTCCATCACCTCTTTGCAAAACTTCAATCAAATCTCCTTTCCTAAACGACAGATCCACTTCTTCACGCGCATCATAATTGAAAACGGCAATCACGTATTTTTTGTGAATTGGTATCTCGACCATGGTATTAGCATCTGAAGATATTGGTCGAACTGGAATACTTTTAGGTCGTACACTGGCACCTGGCATCAAAAGCCAACATCCACCTTTCCTTCTTTTTCGAAGGCATAAAAATACGATTCCTACTGAAGCTACAAGGAACACACTACCGATGGAGAGTCCAATAATTGCACCTGCTCCAAGTGATTTCTTTTTTTTGTCCACTGAATCGTTATTGGATCCTCCACCTGCCGCGCCATTGCCAGTTAATGTAGATGAAGAACTACTGCAATCATTCTCAGGAGTTATAATTGTGTTTTGTCGTAATAATTGAATGACATCCAATAATTCACGTCCATTATCAGTTGTTAAGTCCCAAAGCATCATTCCACGAAAGCCCTGTTTTCGTGTGTAGTCAATTTTCACAAAAAGTGATGCCGGGTCATCATAAGAGATATACATTTTCGTGCTCGGATTATATAACCAAGGAGTTTGAGTCACATTATCAAAAGTGCGAACCCATCCTTCACTTGCTGTTAAAGTGCATTTTAGAATTCCTTGTTGACGTAGGTTTTTCCAAAACCAGATGCCAGTAAATGCTGGTGTGACACTTGGACATGATTTTGGTGACCAAAGTTCATCATTGATATCACCTTTCGCGATTATTGAATCACGTGGCGCATATTGAGAATCTGGTGTCATTGGCTGTAAAGCCGTTTGACTATGCCCAAGAAATTCTACGCCCATTACTATCTTTGATGCGGGCATTCCAGCTTTTAGCCATGATGTTGCAGATTGAGTGAACGATAATTGGCGACCTTTTCCAGGTGTTGTCATAAAGGGTGCATTTGGTCCGGTTGATTTTATCCAATCTTCCCCTGATTCATCATCAACGCTGAGATCATATGCCTATTTTAAGATTAATGAGACCACATCATTAATCAGTTAATTATATTCGTATAAGGACATAATGATTTTGACTTACCATAATATTTATCCAATCAACAACTTTAGCAAATTCACTGACATCAGTAATAGGTCCATTTGGACCATCAAAAGTTTCAGCACGTACAGCTAATGTTATTAATTTATCTTGACCTAAAGCCTCACGTAATTCTTTCAATAGCAATAGAAAATTACTCGTGTCAGATTGACTGTTAAATATATTACACTTTAAGCCTTTTCTCCCAGGAAATTCCCAATCGATATCGACCTGTAAGAAATTTAATAAAAATTATTTAGCATTTGAAAATAAAAATTTTCAAATCAAGAAAAAAAATTAACTCACCCCATCTAAATTGTATTGTTTTACCATCGCAACCGTTGCGCTGATAAATGTTGCACGATTCGCTACACTAGAGACCATTGTGCTAAACGATTTACTGCCGCTCCACCCACCGATCGCAATTGATACCTAATAGATGGAAAAAATTTTACGGAATGTATTTTGATCGAATCAAAGCTAATTATTTGGATATTTTATTACCTTAACTTTCGACACATGAGCATACCAAACTAATGTAGTTAAGGTTGCTGTATTCTGTAAATTTGGCGCAAAGTCATCGTTCAAGAGTGCGAATGCTAGATTAATTGAGAGATCAATCAATCAATTAATTATTTATGGGAACATAAATTTTTTTAAAAGATTTTTCATGTAATTACCGTAATTAACGTGTGTTAATTTATCAAAAAATAAATTATTCACTGCGAATTGAGTAAATCTCCATTCCGGATAATAGCCTACAATTACTTTGTCGGAGAATAAGGAATTATTCGAAGTTCCGGATATTCCGGGTGTTGGTGTTGCTATGACACTCGAAGTTACCACACCATTTGTATTTATTGCGGGAGGTTGGGTTTGTGTATTAGAAGGTGGTGTATTTGGACTTTGTGTAGAAAGTGTTGTCATAGTTTTTGAGGATGGATCATTGCTACCGCTATTATCATTAGGATTTGGAGTTGGAGATGGAACATTCGACACATCTGCTTTCACATAAAGCAAGAATCCATTTAGATTTATTATTGATATTAATAAAGTTAACAATATAAACAATGAAAATTCTCGTTTTATCATTATCTCTGATGATTTCGAGAATATATCTATATATGATTTCTATGGTTTTGGTGGTAACAAAGGAATGAAAAAGGTAAACTTGTTGATATTCAAAGAAAATTTTGTTTCTATATATTGAATATACGTATTAAATGTACTGTATTTTATGCAATAGAATAATAATGAAATTAGAAGAAAAGAATGCTATCTACCTGAGAAAGCGATAAAAATAACAATAAACTGCGTACACATGAAATTTCGAGTTTCAAGGACCTGTAAGATCAACATGCAAAATGTCGATCTCTTGCCGCGTGTATATGGGGTTATTGGTGCATTATGTTATTAAATTAATTAGCATGCTGAAATTTGCGTGGTACATATTGCCTATTGCAACCGTGACGACGACAGCAGAACAAAACAACTTTTTTCGTTTAAGGAAGACAGCTTTTATTTCAAATTCGATAGGAGCCATTGAAATCTCGTGAATTTATAATCATCGAAATCAGAATCATCGAAAAATGCACCTTTATAATAGTCGCAGCTTCGGTTGTAGCATTGTCATTGGTCCCAAGGCACAGAGTGTCTGTATTTATAATTTAAATGAAGTTTTTTCTAACGATAAAAACAAAGTCATGTTTTAAATCATCCATTATGCCAATATTCAAAAGAAACATATTAACTATATTAGATATCGAAATACAGGTTTTTTCTTCAATAAATAGTCTTATGTTTGGGATCTCATGTTACCGATAGTCTTCCTACACCTTCCGACAAACGTGCCCCAACATTCTTTGTTGGGTCTGACGCGAATGCGAACAACAATTTCTTATTCAAGGATGCAGCTCCTTAGACATTCGGATCATTGCCACCTCTCTTATTTCTAAACTATGAGGAAGTGTGTTTCGTCATACCACGATTATTTAATTAAAATTTGAATTATTCGCAAGTTCAATGATTGTTTAAGGTTTCTCGTTGAACTTGCTTTCATTGGAGTAGAAGATCTGTCTTTTATCCAGAGAAGAAAAAATGGAGTATGTTCAAATATATCCCTTCTGACGAAACCAGTTTCGCCCGATTTGACCTGTAAAGTGTTCCCAAGTTAAGGTTTCGGATAGTTTCAGACTTAGTTTCGTCTGAAACATTACTTCAATTTGATTTATTGTTCAGTCATCTATTATTTGGAAAAGAATCACTTATTCACTTATCGCTGCGACCGCTAAATTCATAGCTGGTTATATTTCAGGAATGACAGGTCACGTTGTTAAATGGTTGTTGAATTCGCGATGCTTGCAGCCTAATATTAGCTAGATAGTCATACGTAGTACCATGTTGACGCAATTGAAGCGAGCGATCGAAGACTAGAAAAGGATATTGATACAAAAATTAAAGAAATTTCCACCGAGGAAATTAATATTTTTCATACTCTCAAAATTCCCCCGGTTGTGATTAAACCACAATCAAATGTGATGCTCAGGGTTGATTGAAAAGATCACATTATGTATCTGTTATTCCATGTTTGCAAAATTACATGTGGTAATTATCTGAGATAAAAGTTGTATTTTATTGTGTCCAAACTGAATGAATTTTGATTAATTTCTGTATAAATTCCTAGATAATTTTCTGCATTTTATAAATAAAATTTATTATTTATTGGTTATATGTAATAATAGATAACCTGAAGTCTAGTTTTTTGCTTGGATTTTAAGCTCTTTAGTTTCTTTAATATTACCATAATAAAAATCTTAAATATAAAAGAAAAAGCTCAAATTTCAACTATTGGTTCTTTCTTCCATTGGTCGGATGCCAGTATTTAATTTGAACATGAAGTTGAGACGCGCAATGATATTTTGAGGGTATTTTACCATCTTTAATATTAATGATTTTCTCTGAGTGATTGTTGGTGGCGATAGAATTTCGATGATTGAAATGCATTTTGTTACTTGTTTCTATTTCATTTTTGATTTGAGCGATTTGACTTTGGTTCATTTCGCTGGTTTCGATGTAACTTAATAACAATTTCTTTTTGAAAACACGCTTTATTGGAATTCACTGATGGACGTACAAGTCCCGTAAATGGCCATGTAAAAGACACCGGATTTGTTACATTCCACGGTTCAGAAACCTGTATTGATGTAAACATCCGCTGTATAAACATAATTTTTCTAATGATCACATTATTCAACTTTATATAATATACCTGGTTTTATTAAATTTGCTGTGTCAATTTTGCACCGAGTACAATTGGGGGAGGATCTGCTATCGGGGGGGGGGGGGGTCTTTTACGGTGCACTTTATAGATTAGTTAAAGTTCGCGAGGATTGTTAATCACAAAATAAAACTTCTCTAACGATTTACATTTATCGGATAGAAAATTTATATTCTCAGGCATGCTGTATATAACAAAGCATGTATTTGATACCGTTTAATTAATTAATTATCTTTAGGTTTGAATTCTCTATATTTAAACATAATTTTTAGTAATTACCGTTTCTTTTATTATTAAACTTAACGATATATTAACTATACATATTTTGTCATAAAAATTAATTTTTATCGGGGCAGTCTTGATTAAAAATTTGGGACTGAATGTTCCGTCTCCGTGACGGTACATTAGTAAATTCCAATCCCTTAATTACGAACAATAGACAAAAACCACGGAAAGTAGAAGAATGCTACGTCACACAGAGTTTCTTTTCAAGCAGGTGGCAAAAAATTTCCATATCGAGTTAACACTCTGGTTTGTGTGTTTCAGTTTGTGTGTTGTGTACGATGCTATAATAATTATTGAAGATCCATTCGTTAATGCGATGTCGAAAGTTTCAATCGTCGTAATTGGTTTTTTTATGCCATGACCTACACGTATGTTCTTTCACCGCAGATGTTAAATTTTGTGTTGGACGATATCAAAATAATATCAAATAATGTATCATACGTGCAGTCAATAATTTCCAAAATAAAATACAAGCCAAGGATTAATTTCCGAATCTGCATGTCTATGATAAAGAAAGGAAAGCGTGTTGTGATGACGATGACGCATCTTTTGAATTGTGATGACCACATCGTTGGGACATGTACTACACCATGTTAATATTAAAAGTTTTGTGCTTCGCGTGGGTTTGAAGTACATGTAATATGTATAGAGGGGTAAACCAGTTCAAAACGTGATTTTATAGGCTAACTTTTTTTTAATTTAATTGATGTAAATACGATGCGCCCAAGAAATGAATTCAACACTCGCTTTTTTACCTCGTTTCATTTTCTTGCATCATTTTTTGCAATGTTCTTTGTTCATTAGAACTATAAAAAGAAAAATGCGTAAATTTTCTCGGATATTGCAACTTTCAAACGACGATTATCTGAAATCAAGTATCTGACTGGTTGTCAATTACACTACTTGCCATTTCCCCCCCCCCCCCCCCCACGAATGCAGAGATCATCCTTCTTGAAATATATGGGAATTCAATAAAAAGGGTTTATTTATTTACTATTTCTTTTGGTGATTTTAAATTACACAGAACCAAGAGATTTGCGTAACCTCTTTTAAATGAGATATATTCATTTAAGACGGATGCATTTGCATAATGAAACTTCTACCTTCTTAAATAGAATAATAAATGCAAAGTCATATTATTAATCATCGGTGCTGCCCGTCCTTTTGAGGATCCAATATGCAAAAAATTATAATGACTATGTGAATTACTTAGTTAGCTGATTTGAAATCTCGCCATATGCTTTAGATATTTTCGTCACATCTTTATGAACGACGACGACGAAGTAAACCTGTTAACTAACTATAAATATCTATTGACAATACAATCGTTACTATTCTTTGTGTTTAAATGTGCAAAGATTGCTATTTTTTGTGCTATGATGAGCAAATATGAACACTAATTTAATATCATTTGAGCTAACTATGAACAGGAGTTTGATTTAAAGGTTAAAATGATTGATGGAATATTTGATGACAGTCACTTGATTAATCGGCCCTGTAAAAATTTAATCTCAAAGCCACGAAATTGTAACGTGAATTGTAAATTATACGGTAACGGTAATCTTCGTTTTGTCTTAAATCTGTCTATTCTAAATTTCTTTAAACCATTTTAAAATCATTTATTTTAATTCTTTTTGCCGATGCTTCGGCGTCCGATTTTTCGATGACGCCATGGAATCAAAGTGAGTGGATATAGAACAGACAAAAGCGAGCTTTCCTTCTAAAATATTCACGAGATGATAATATCTGAAAGAAAAAAGGGTAAGCAATTTGCACCATTTTTTTTTGAGAATGATCTTCTTCCATATAGAAGTGGTGACACACGTAGAATTTTAAAATCTTACATCTGTCGATGATTTTTTTGGGAAAACAAACGATTGTTTTTCCGGATTTGAAATTATTACAAATTTCGAAACAATCACAGATGAGATTGTATCGAATGCAAGGTAGAGAAAGAATCGAAGCATAGCAAAGAATTAGTAATATGCGTTGAGAGCTAAGGAGACGGGTGGCAAGGTTTCGGAGTGTGGGAGTATTTTTTGTTCCAAGAAATTAGCTTTTCTTTTTTTACCACTACTTTCTCATTCGTCTTGTCTGTGTAAACGTATGGTGCGTGTATCGGTATCGTGTGTTTCGTGTTGTAGAGTTATTTTTAGCTACATTCCAGAACTCGAATCAGTTGCATATTCTTCTACGTGCGTATGCATAAAAGTTAAAAATTGCTAGTTTAAATTAAAACTTGTTTGAATCGCTATTCTTTCTTTCATATATCCAAACAATACTAGTTTATAGTTCGGTTGTGCTAGTTGATTCAAGAAACTCCGTTTTTCCCCATCGTGAGAGAATGAACGAATGCTATGACTTAATGTGAACTAAAATCTTGTATCAAAAAAAAACCTTATCCGTTTACACGGATGGATGCTGCGACTTTATTTACCTAATCACTACGGACTTCAAAGATTCGATGATGATGTTATGCACGGAAGCAACACAAAAAAAAACATCGAAGAAAGAAAGCCATAAAATAGCATGCAAAAAAAACCTGAAGAAATGAAAATTATGTAATATTTGCCTTCGTCTTTGTAAATCCGAAGGTCTGTTCACAAGTATGTATTTGTAATTTAATTTCGTACGTGGAATATATATTAAAAATAATTAAAAAAGGCAAAAAACAATACCATTCTTCAGATAACGCAACAATGGTATTTTGAATCCTCAGTTGAAAAATCTATTCGAAATTCTAAATTCATCAGTTTTCTAGCTTCTCTTCTACCGCCATTATTCATTTAAATTACTGAATCGACGACCATTGGATGCTTCTTTTTTCATAAGACTTTATTAATAATAAATTTGAACCAACATAGAATTCTATCTATTCTAGTTATCAGCACCAAAAAAAAAGAGTGTACATGTTTCTTGCGACATGTCCCTCCCCCTTTATAAAAGACGATTTTAGCAATTAATAGCAACTCCTTGTCCACTCCTATTATAATGATTGACATTTTATTATTCATGCAGTGATTTTTTTAATACAAGTAACGTTTACAGTAATACTCTACTATCATCTATATATAAATTATATGTGTACTGGCTGGTCACCCCCAAATTCATTACTCCCCAGTTAAAAAAAGTTTAAACACCGTGCGACGAAATAAAGGATACATGAAATAATAAAAAAAGCTGAATTATTTTACGTACTCTACTTTTTTAGGATGTTCTTATAATTGGGATCACACAATAGATAATATTTGTATATATTTTTTTATTTGTCAGTTCTTCTCGAGCACTCTACATCCCATGCGCATTTATCTCGAATTTTCTTAAATTGGTTAACTTATTTTCTGCTACATCGTTATAGTTATCCAGTTCTCAATAGTTAATAATCCCTTTGTTGTGCGCATACTTTAATCAAAATACTTCTTCCGTTTTCAACACTCTTGTCGCCCTTGCCTCTCTGTATATTATCCACATACGTACATACACACACACACACTTAACAAACATACACGAACCACCACATAAACATACAACAATAATAATATCATCATTAAACACAACTATCATTCTTCTCATATCAAGAAAAAAGAAATTTTCTTACTTGTATATTTCTCATAATTAAAAGAAGAGAAGAAGACGACCGTTTATTCTTTTTCTGTTGGGAGAAGGAAAAAGATAAAGTTGGTCTTCTTTGAGTAGCGGCAGCAAACGATACACAACCTCCCCGCTACTATCAATCGGACGGACGGCGTGGAAATAAAAAACTGGACTTTTTAACATACGTTCGGAGTGGCGGCGGCGGCGGAACAATGGGTCCCAAAACCAAAAGTCAATCCCTCGATAAACATGTAAGTTTTTCTATCACTCTGATTATTTTATCCGATTTCAGCAATTCAACTTGATTTGTTTTCATGGCGATAGAAACTTCAATTGGGCGATTGCCTTGGGAGGGGTGCGTTTGGTTCGGTCTATCATGCTATAAACTGGGAAAATGGCGAGGCGTTTGCTGTTAAGCAAGTGAAGCTTAGCAATATACCAGAATCAGAACTCGATGTTATAATGGCATGTATTTTAATTATCATTCTTAATAGTTGTTCGTTTGTTTTCTTTATTAATTCCTTTGGATTTTTAGAGAGAGATTGAGCTATTGAGTATCCTCAATGTAAGCATTTCTTTTTGTTTCTCTGTTCCATATTTCGAATGGAAATACTGAGATGTTTTATACCTTATTATTTTGTATATAGCATGATAATATTGTAAAATATATTGGATTCGAAAAGACCAACGAGTCATTGTATATTATTTTGGAGTAAGTGTTCCGAGTGATGATTGAATCAGTATATCTTATATATTGACATTCTATGTAAATAATCTTTATAAGATACTGCGAAAACGGCTCACTCCACACAATATGCAGGAAATTCGGAAAATTTCCCGAACATCTCGTAGCAGTCTACATAGGCCAAGTGCTCGACGGCCTATTATATCTGCATGAGCAAGGAGTTATCCACCGTGACATCAAAGGTGCGAACATACTGACTACCAAAAATGGCCAAGTGAAATTAGCAGATTTCGGGGTCGCCACCAAAACAAACGCGTTAAATGATTTTGCGGTGGTCGGATCGCCGTACTGGATGGCGCCCGAGGTAATCGAGTTGTCAGGCGCGACAACCGCTTCAGATATCTGGAGTGTTGGGTGTGTCGTGATAGAGTTGTTAGAGGGGAAACCACCATACTCGCATTTAGATCCAATGCCGGCATTGTTTCGGATTGTGCAGGATGAACATCCGCCGTTGCCAGAGAGCGCGTCTCCCGCAGTCAAGAATTTTTTGATGCAGTGTTTTCAGAAGGATGCTAATTTGAGAGTTTCGGCAAAAAAGTTGCTGAAACATCCGTGGATTACTAGCGTGCGTGGTGGAATAAGTACAATAAGAGAAAAGACTCTGCCACGATCTACGAAAATGCCTAGGATTACTGAATATGAGGAAATTTTACAAAGCGTTAAAGATTATAATCTAGCGTTAGATGAGACAATTAATCCACCACCGTCCCGGAGACGAAGTTCTGTGTCAAAAAAACCATCACGCTCTTCTATCCAACAATATCAGATGCTGACTAGAAATCCAGATTCTTCTTCCGCCTCGGCTAGTCCTAATACCAATCCAATATTATCACCCCCGTCTTCGTCGTCGTCATCATCACCACCACCACCACACCCGCCCAATTCTGTTGCTAGTTATTCAACGTTGAAAATTCCAAAATCATACAAGCCACCGTCAGTTCTCGAAACTAGCAATTGGGACACTGGCGCTATAGTATTCTCCCCTAATGTCGTGGACCATACCAATGCAGAATCGGCAAATGACAATTGGGATGATGATTTTGAGGATTCTATTACTTATTCAAAAATAGTTGCTTTACCGAAGATAGTTACTACACAAAATGAGCAACAAAACAATTCTGAACAATTTGACGAGGACGAAGACGATGCGTCAACAATTCGACCAAACAAGTACCAGTTAGAACTACAAGATGCAATTACTAATAATAACCTTGCTGCTGATTCAAAATCAAACTTAAATAATCCTCAAAATAATAAACAATCTCCATATAATAAAAGTGATGATGCCAATAATAACAATAATGGTGGACATAATCACGTGTCAAATCAAAATAACCAGAATAATCACGATTGTAAGCCTCCCCCTCCTATACCACCTACACCACAATCTTCACGTAATAATCGGCCATTAACGCCACCAACATCACCAGAAATGTCACCAACCTCACAACCATCACCCTCAACTATTAATTCAACCGCGATAAAACAACCACCCGTTCACTATCGTCGTAATTCATATTATGACGAAGAAAGTCAAGGCGAATTTCAGAAATATCGTGAATCAGACGAGGATAATTTCGAGGATGCATTTTCCGAACAAGATGATGAAAATCTAATACTGAATACTCGTCTATCGAGTAACAGTTGGTTTGGCGATGATGTAAGTGATGAAGATGATCCTTTTATTGAAATAAATGAAGGATTAGACGAAATGGATCTGCAGGCTAATATTGCAAGAGATAAGTATGCTCGTGCTTGTTCGCGTCTCGCTGATCTTATAAACGCGTTGCAGCCAAGTGAATCGGAAGATCAATTAACGAACTTTTGCGACGAAATTATCCGATTATTAAGTGAGCATAAAGAACTCAAAAATCATCTCATCATTTTCCATGGTGTAATTCCAATATTGGAGATGTTGGAAATGTGCTCATTCGAAAGAGTAGTTAACCGACTTCTTAGAATTGTTAATTCAATAATCAAAGATAATCAAAATCTTCAAGAGAATCTTTGCCTGGTTGGTGGAATTCCCGTGATTAAGAATTTCACTTCAAAACGACACTCTTACGAGATTCGTCTTCAAGCTGGATTATTTATTCGACAAATGTGTCACACATCAACGTTAACGCTGCAAATGTTTGTCTCTTGTCGTGGACTCAAAGTGCTTGTTGATTTTCTTGAAGAAGATTACACGCGTCACAAAGAACTTGTTTGGATCGCTATAAATGGAATTTGGAGCGTGTTTGAATTGCAAAGTCCAACGCCGAAAAACGACTTTTGTCGATTATTTGCAAAAAGTGGCTTATTGGACCCATTGTCAATCATTTTGCATCAAACTCTAGAAGACCAAGATCCAGCAGCTGGTGAATATGTCGAAAAAATAGCGAGAATCTTTTTACTTTTTTCGTCTGCTGAAGCTTACGTTAAAGAATCGATGGTCATCGGAAGAGTAATAATACGGATTCTCGAAGCTCTGTATAATCTACCATATAACATTTGCGTGATTATGTTGAAATGTATAAAGAATTTATCAATGAATTCAAACACGTTAGAGTCATTGCAAAGTGCTGGTGCAATCGAAGTATTGACAGATATTTTAGCTAAAAAAAGTTCACCAAACAGGCCAGAGATTGCAAATCAAGTTCTCAATACAATGTTTAATCTTTGTCGCATAAATAAATCACGACAAGAGAAAGCAGCACAGGCTGGCATCATTCCTTATTTACAATCATTTGCACAATCACAATCTCGACAATTTGCGATTCGACAATTCGCATTACCAATTTTATGTGATATGGCTCATGGAAATAGAGTTTGTCGTGATTTGCTTTGGAAATACAATGGTCTCCGGTTTTACATATCATTGTTGATTGATCCTTATTGGCAAGTTAATGCACTAGAGGCGATTCTTGTTTGGCTACAAGAAGAAAAGCATCGCGTGGAGCCGATTCTTTTGGAACCTCAGAATATTGAACGCATTATTCAAGCATTTGTCACCGCTAAAGCAAACTCTTTCGAAAATATTCTGGGACCATTGCACTTGATCACACGGCTATCGCCAAAAACAGCGTACGCATTGGCAAAACCTACATTTTTTAAACGGTTACTTCAACGCCTTCACCATAAGAAACCTATAGTACGATTGAATATGTTAAAAATCCTCAAATCATTATGTGATGCCTATCCCACTGTCATTGAACAATATGAAAGTTTATTTGACCATATTAGTCAAATGTTCAACGAGGATCCTTCAATGCTAGTAAGAGAATTGGCTAAAGAAATTATTACGATTTTACAAGACTCTTTTAGATCCAGGGAAGCACAAAATCAGATAAACTCTTTTCAGATGCCTATCAAAGAAGAAGATGAATATAGTCATCAATCAACCGTCATTCTAATCCGGAAGAATATATTACGCGGAAAAGAAACGGATGGCGATGGTGATGATGCAAAAGACGTCGTCGAAGAGAAGGATGTGGACAGCGAAAAAGTAGTTACATCAATTAATAGTTCTGATAATTTCACTAAACAAGGCGTAAATACAATAAGAGGTTTCAATACTAATATGGATAATGCAAATAGTAAAAATAGTTGACTAGGGGCGGTTCCGGTGGGAGAACATCGGAACCAAGGTACAACAGTAAAAAATCGACATTTATCCTCTGCTGCATCATCTTCAACTTTATCAGTATCAACAGTTTCACCAATAAGAAATCGTCCTCGTGCATCTTCAAGTCCTCTAGCACCTAGTTCTCGACGAACAAAACCAAATGTACATCAACCACGTCCATCATCCACTGGTCCATCTTTATCACCGGAAATCCCAGAAAATAAAAATAGTTCATTATCAGTAACAACTAATAGTCGGCAGAAAACATCGACGTCATCAGCTTCAAGTTCTAAAAATGCAACTCCATACACTTCTCAAAGATCATCAACTAAATCACTCAATTTTCCATATGAACATATCCGTAAACGTTCAGAATCACGTAAATCTCGACTATCAACTCATACAACTTTCAAAATAATCGAAGCATCATCGTCCTCAGTTAATGCAGCCAATATCGCAGTTGATCCAAAATCACCCACGCCTAAAAAATCTACTAACGGTACTATTAGCTCGGTGGCCTCAGTTGCGAGTTTCGATAGCAAAGTCACAAAATGCACATATCCTGGATGTGTAGTGAAATGGGTGAAATCAAAATTAAGCAGAGGTGCAACAAAAAAGAATAAAAAAAAAGTTAAAGAAAAAGCAGTAAGGATTGGTGATGACAATGGATTACTTGAAATGGAAAACATCCAATGATATCTCGGAATTCTGAACATTTTTGAACATTTTGTATTTATATTTTAATTTCCTTTTTATTCACAATCATTCTTTGTAAATCGATAAACCACTTTTTTACTATCCATATATAATACTCTAATTTTTTAATATTCCTTAACTAATAATTAATTAATTTGTACACTATTACTATTTTGTCTATTATTTAATGCATTTATTGATTATTATTAAACTTTGTATATTACTTTTTTCTTTTGTGTATCGGTTGGGAGTTTCTCTACGGATCAAAAAAATTTTGCATACAATAATAATAATTCCACTCATTCGTGTATTTTAGTTTTCCCCTGCTCTTTGAATTGAATGTCAATAATACGCAAAGTATGAATTGTATTTTTATCTCGGGGAACTAAAAATAAAGAAAAAAAATCATGCGTATACACAACAAAAAGTCCTTGAAATCACAAAAAGTGATAACAAGTCATCTGAATATATTAAAAAAGAACCTCCCCCTATAAATGCACACACTATATACACTCTCCCTAAATGCACACTATGGCTCAGTCCCAAACTTATAAGGCCTCTACTCTGTCTTTTTTTAATATGGTCTCACGGGGGGCACTTTGAGAAGTTTCTCGGTATTAGAACATTACATTACGCAATTTTTTATGTAATAAAAATGTTGGGGAGGCAATTTTACATATAACCTTGATCTCCATTCTAATCCTGACCCTTAGCCTAAAACTTCTAGTGTTAATTAATATTACAATAGAATTTTCCGGGATCGAGAGTGCTTTAGGGGAGTGACATATATTACGTAATTATCAGAGGGGGAGGGGGTCTCAAAAATCTCACCTTCCACGTGATCAAAAATAATTAGCCAATTAAAATCTCACATGGGGGAGGGGGTTACCTCTATTGTAACTCGATATTATGTAATATATGTCACTCCCCTTACCTGGGCTGGTCTGACAGGTTACGCCGATCCCGGCAAAATTCGGAAATTAACGTTAAAGATTATTTTAAAGTTAGAATTAGTGTTAGTTGGAGCGGAGGAGAAGGTTATATGTAAAATTGTCTTCCTGATATTCTTGTTAGTGTACTCCAAGCTAGATTTGGGCAGTGTTGTTATTAATATTGACTGGAACGCCACTGGAAGATTCAATAATGTTATCCTGTATAAATTTATCTAGTTAATTTCAATGAATTTTTAATTTTGACTCACTGGAATGTTCCAGTGGCAACACTGGATTTGGGCATTTATTTCCCATTTTTGGGGGATGGCTAAAGCCAGGTACATCACGTGATATGCGACTATATAATTAAAGATTAATTTAAGCTTAGGTCAGGGTCAAGGCTGGAATTGAAATCAAGGTTATATATAAAATCGCCTCTCCGACATTTTTTGTTAGTATACCAAGATAGATTTAAGCATTTGTTTTCCGTTATTTTTCATAGTTTGTTCGCGTTTCGGATTTGTTTTTCTGCGCTGATCAAAAATTTATGCATCCTTATTGGTTTGTGTTTCGGACTGATTATCGGATGTACCCGGCTTTAGCGTATCCCCATTTTTGTGTCTTCTGCCGGATTTGTTTTGTCGGGCTGATTAAAATTTGCGCGCCCTTATTGGTTTGTGCCATCCGTGCCACATACATCAAACAATATATTCAGCATAACCTGTCACACATTCCAGGCGTGCCTTAATAAATGTCAGAGCCCTAGGGCGCGTCACAGATCAGGTGATTCTTTTGCGCTTGTCCCGGCATTGAAAATTACGATCGTTATTTTGATGGCAGAAAGGAAGGCGGGGGTGGAGGGTTGTTGTCGATCATCAGGTTCTACAAGATTAGGGGAGTGACAATATTAGCTAATATTATGTGGGGAGGGGAAGATGGCCAAATCTCAGGTATTAATATTAGTTAATATTTGTCAGGTGGGGTGGGGTGTCTTTCTAATAAATAAAATCACCTGATATTTGGCGTTCCCCAAGCCAATTGAATAAAAGTATTATATAGTCGTTCAAACATAGAAATTTGACCACATATTATCTAAAGAACATATTTACAATAAGTCTTTTCAGACATTTAAAACATAAAATCAAATTCTTTATAGTACAATATCTGTTATAAAGCAGATTATTATGTTACCTAACAAATGAAATTTTGCTATCTATAAAATTTTCACATCTATCAAAAAAAATGTATTTTTAACAGAAACAACAAATCCCCAAATTTTCGTTTATTTAAACCTGTATCTTATTTTTCATCATTGTTTCAATTCTAGAGTTGTAATGACTGATAAAATGTGTCTCAGATTGAAATAAAATAATTCAATACTTAATAGTGATAGATACCGTGCTATCGTCGAATAACTATGTACATATAAAGTAATGCAAGTATTCTATTAACTAATAAGAATAGTCGCAGTATGTCCACTATCAAATTTAGCTGCAGTTTAGACTATGCTAGTTGCTTCGATTCCGATGTTAGTAGTTGCAGATTCAGTGGTGCAGTATTTTCATTAACTGCTGAATAACGATAATGCGTTTTCGTGATGGTAGCAGCGGTTTGAACTGAGCTGCATTAGCTGTTTCTATTTTCAATAAAATACATTATCGTTATTTATTTGTCCAACTTTGCAAAGATTTTCTAACAAAGGTATAATGAATTCTATCCATACAATAATTGTCCCCCTCTTTAGTCACCCCCGTATAATAAGTCATTGTTTCTAGACCACTAAATATGCGACCATTAAATAAACCCCTATAAGTGTTCTTCTCCATAGTTTCAATCTAGTCATTAGGATGCTTACACTGACATTTATATAGGAATTGGAACATCGTCACACCGGGGATGGTGTAACGATAGGAGCTATGCTTATATAGGGGTTTTTATTTAATGGTCAGTGCGACTTTTGGGGGAGTGATGCGAGGGTGATTATAGAGGGGGACGACTGTATATGCATATTAGATTCATGTAAAATTTTCTGTCTAATCAACGAGTAACGAAATAAACAAAAAGATAATAGGTCAAATAGGTTAAGAATTGTTAATTAAGAATAGTGCATTTTATTATATGTTAAGTACTATTATTGATGACATTATTTACAATCAAATCTAAATAACTAGACCACAACTCTTCAACAACCTTGGATCAAATTCTATGCCAAATGAATTTCAATATGTTTCATTCGTTCCAACTGAAATTCCCACTTAGCAACCTTCCAATCTTCTTCTTCCGTTAACGTGATCACTTGTCTAAGGGCATTTAGGTATGTGATACGACCACGACATAGATGTACTTGAGCACGTTGTTCAATAGTATTGATTAGTTGATCGAATGAGATTGTTTTTGGTACAATTATAGTTATTTTCTTCGTGAGAAATACGCAGAGGATTGTTAACTATATAAAAAAATAGTGATTAATTGATTAGTAGTTTGTGTTTTTATTGAATTATTATAATAAATACCTGATGTTGTTGCTGTTGTCCTCCTAATCCTTCACCGATAGCTGATGATTGTGGTTTATCAACAAGAGTTTGGGAGTTGTTGAAAAAAACTTGTTGCTGCTGTTGCTGATGTTTTTGAGTTGTCATATTAGAAATTGAAATTCAAAGTTACAATGGCAATCAATGGATTACGCACAATATTATTATTATTATTATTATTATTAATTGTCTATATTGTTTGCATGATAAAAAGTAGTATTAGTCACTATTATTAAATCATGAATTTTAGGATATACGTATATGGAAATTTTACCTTGACTTCATTTTCTTTAGTATTATTGTCAACCAATTGATTAGACGATTTTGTCGTGTTTGAGCAGAAAAGTTTCATTCCCTTGTCCAATAAGCCCAATGTATTATCCTCAACATCACGACATGGAATAATTACAAAAGAAGTAGCCTTTTCTATTATTGGTTCTATTTTGGCTGAATTAGCTGCAGAATTGCATTTTATACACTGCAAATCTTATTAGAACATGCCTTATTTACATATCGCAACAAAACAAACCAAAACCAAATTTACATTAATTTTATATCCACTTTCGAATCCCACGAAGATATTTCTTGAATCCACATCATCGAAAGCGTTAGCACTAGAACCAACACCACTTTCACCGACTCTAAATCGAGTAATTTTCGAAAAAGGAATCACCAAACGAATATTCTCCAACAATCTAATATCAACATCGGACGAGGGAAAGCGAAAAGAGATGACGATTTTTCTTTCTTTAAAAGAATTTAATACTTGAGAACTGGTATTCACTTCGATTCTCTCAACGTTGAATCGGATAAATTGGTGTCGGAGCGTAGAAATCGGATATGCTGTTTCACGGGTCAATGATGTTTGTTGTTGTTTTTGTTGAGAAGAAGAAGATGGTGGTGGTGAAAGTGTTTTGGTTCTTTCGACAGGTTGATTTTTTGGATAATTGACAACTAATTTTAAGAATACTCGTAAGAATTTCGTAGTACATAGTTATAATAATAGTAATGACACAAACCATTAATATCTTCAAAGAGTCTAGGTTCATCGAATTCACGAAACTCTTTGTCACTTTTGAAAGTATTCATTTCTATTTCTTGTCTTTAATATAGATAACAATTATCGTTATAATTAAAACAACAGTAAAAGTAGAAGATAATGGAAAAAGAAGCGTGCAAGTTTTTTTCTGAAATTATCAGAGAAACGATGAATATTTAAAAACAAATTCGTGTGATTTATCAAGCTAAAAAAATGATATTTCCACCAAGTGTAAAAATTACGTGTTTGATTTTCTGATTTGAAAGACTGATTGTTTGCATTAATAATAACGATAGTATTTAGTATTTAATCTAAATAATTTGGTATGCAACATAATACGTAACGGTAAAAATCTATATTTTCTATAAATACACGTCATGTAGTTGTTGAGGCGATATTTTGAATTTTTGACAATCCAAAATTTGATAAATCAAAGATCAAATTTTGCTGCGTTGTGTTTCAATAGCTCGGTTTTAGGGAGCTAATAGCAACAGGTTCATTCCTGCTTGTTTCAGTGATAATGTCGGTCAAGCCCAGGTAGACGTTTAACAAGAAAAAACCAATAAAAAATTTCATTTAGAATTACGGTATCTTTATTACAAATATAAGAAGCAGAACGTAAGTCCAGTTATTTTTGGAATTATAACTTCAGTATTCCAGTTGGCGCAGTTTTTTGTAATTCCAGTTGTTCCAGTTGCCAACACTGGTCTAGATGCAATGACACCAACAATTTCTTACCAAGAGCATTCATTAAACAAGCTGCAGAATCAAATGCATTTATTTTTCGTAAAGATAACTTTTGTTTAGTGACCGAATCTGAAAATTGGAAACGGACAGTTAAATGATTTATTTAACTATCATAATAAATTCCTTTGTATATGTTCAAGAACAAGCAGCGTAGCGCAGAGGAAGCGCGCGGGGCTCATAACCCCGAGGTCGGAGGATCGAAACCTCCCGCTGCTATTTCTTTTTTTTGTTCCAGTCGCACGAACACAAATGTCGTGTTACTATAACAACGCGTGAAATTTTTCATTAGATCTTATAAAAAATACGCACAGAATTAAAAAAAGTACGCGTTACTTATTTAAATTCTTGCGTTTTTTTTTACCTCGCGTTGCCCCTTTGAATTTTTGAATTAACCTGTAATGTATATCAAAGCCAAAGCACCCTCTTTTAATAAAGAGGCGACTATTCAAGTAACTCCTAAACTGGATATTGCTGACCTTCGAAGTCTAATTTCTCAAGAATTAGGCACCAAAGAGTTTCCAATCAACCGACTTCGCCTCCTTTACTCCGGAAAACAACTCGAAGACGGTCTTAACGTGCACCAATATGACATCAAGCACGAACACACTATTCTTGTCACGTTAAAGGCTCTTCCCTTCGCGGAATTTAGTTTAGATGCTTCGACCGAACTTGCCAGCACATCTCAAGAACCTATTATCGCGAGTTCTTCCAGCTCTGCCGTTGAAAACAAGAACGCAGCATCTACGGGTGAAGACCTGCAAAATGCCATTCAAGTAATTGAAGAGGAAGAGGAGTATTTCTGCAATAAATGTAAAAATAAAGCAGAAAAAAAGTGTAAGGACTGTGGATGCCATCTTTGCGGGGGAAAAGACGACGACGAACATACGGTTGTGTGTGATGAATGTAATTACGTATATCATTGGAAATGCTTGGATCCTGTGATGACTGAATTGCCAACCGATAATTGGTATTTATTATTTGATCTATTGATTTCTCATGCCATTCTAAATTTGATTTTTTTTGTCTGTAAAGGTTCTGCGAAGATTGCACTCATGATGATAAAGAAGTGGTGACCGCGGGGAAAAAATTAGATCTAAGCAAATCCAAAAAATCAAAGATGCCATCTGCGACACAACAAAAGAATTGGGGAGGAGGTATGGCATGTGTTGGTCGCAGAAAAGAATGCACAATTGTCAGTAAAGATCATAAAGGTAAAATTCCCGGTGTTCCCGTCGGCTCCTCCTGGCTTTACCGTATTCACTGTGCCGAATCTGGAGTACATCGACCTCATATAGCTGGTATAGCTGGTACTTCTCAAATAGGAGCTGTCTCTATTGTGCTTGGTGGTGGTTACCCGGAGGATGAAGACAACGGAGAAGAATTTACTTATACGGGCTCTGGTGGTCGAGATTTATCTGGTAACAAAAGAACCGCAAAGCAGACCTCGGATCAAGTACTTACCAGCTATAATTTAGCCTTGGCAAGGACATGCAACGCACCCGTAGATGATGACAACGGTGCTACCGCAAAGAATTGGAAAAAGAGTCATCCTATACGTGTTGTAAGAGGTGAGAAACTGAAAAAACATAGTCCAAAATATGCCCCAGAACAAGGTTATCGTTATGACGGTGTATATAAGCTGGTTAAAGTAAGTATCCAGATGATTTCCTCAATAAATAATTTTACATCATCTTTTCTAAGCTGGAAATTATATTTCTTATATTAGTATTGGAAAGAAACCGGTAGTACTGGATTCCTCGTTTGGCGATTTTTGATGAGACGAGATGATCCTGAGCCTGCTCCATGGACTAAGGAAGGCAAGCGCCAAATTCAAGAACTAGGTTTAGAAATGTATGTGCCCGACACAAAACATAAGCTTGATGAGTCGTCATCGGTGGCATCATCATCTAAAGCGAAGAAAGTCAAAACACAATATACTCCTTCCAAGGAACTGAAATCTCTCATTAAACAAGATAAAAGGAATAAACGAGCATGGAAGCTTGTCTTGGAATCAGAAAGTTCCACCGAATTACAATTTATCGAAGCGATTCAGAGAGAATTTTGTTGTCCTATTTGTCAAGAATTAGCTAAACTTCCTATCACCACCGAATGCGAGCACAATATTTGTGCATCATGTTTAGTTCATTCCATTAAGTGTATCGGTCTTTTTTGCCCTTCTTGCAGGCATGATTTGAAAGAATCCCTGAATGAAAAGGAAGTTAACAAAGATGTAAATGAAGAGCTTGTGAACGCAATTAGGGTCTTGATCCCGGAATACGAAGGACCTTCGTCTACTAAAGCAACAAAGACTACTAAGATCAAAAAGGTATTTGCAATTAAGGAATGAAATTGGTCAGCTATCCCATTCAATCTATTGATTTTTTATCCTTGCATTTTTTATACAGGCGTAAAACTTCAATTTCTAGTTTAATTTCATTTTGTCAGTATAGTAATCTAATTTCATTTAGTAATTCTAATATCGATATGTAGTTTTTCTAGTTTTAGGTAATAACTTGAATTTTAAATACATACGGAATATTATTTATTATTTATACTATCAATGATGGACTTTAAATAAAGAGGAATGTGATCCTGGTATGAGAATTAGAGTGATGCATCTAAATCTGAATTGAATATTCTAGCCGAATAAATAATAATTACAATAAATTAGAATTATATACAGTCATGCACGCGCTGTCCGATATAGTAGATTTACTAATAAACTGGATTTTTGAAGATTTTTACTAACAGATTTTTTTAATGATCAAATCCCAAATAAATAAAATTTGCTCAAAAAAACAACAAAATTCTCAAACTTCGATTTTTCCTCAATAGCAAATCATCTTAAACTCGACGAAATTCAGCTTTTATTTCAGATATTCCAACAGGTAAGCCAGCCTGTTTTTATATTGTTTATTGTTGATTAATATCACCATGGTGGTAAAATAATAATTGAATTAAATTCAACTAACCTTTTCGTCGTAATCAGCCCAATCGCCATCTGTTAGATCAATATCGTCAAAGAAGGTATCGGATTCGGCACCCTTTGCAACAAACCCAACCTAGTAATAATAGTATCGAAAAGATGAGATAATATTAAGTTGAAGGAAAGATAAGAACAAATTTTTACCCTCGGTTCAAAATCGACAAATTCCAATCCCCGACATTCAATCACCGCCATTTCTGCAAATTTTCCAGAATTCTCAATTGTGTATGGTTTAGATGGTTTTGGCTCAAACTCTAAAAAAATTTACATATTCATTCATCTTTCGAAAAAAAATAGAAATTAAGTGACGTAAATGACTCACGTGCCGAGCTTTCACGTTTACAAAAACTACAACGCATCACATAGTTGGCGGTTCCTCGCGACCCAGAAATATCGTTGCTTGCCTTCGATATTTTCAAAAACAAGTAAAATTAGTTTATAAATTAAAAAAATTGAAGAAATTTACCGTTTCTATTTCCTTACTTGACGGTTCACGCCTACCCAATTATCGTGTATTTCATTACAACTATTACATTTTACCTTCAAAATTAAACATAATCAATCAAATGGCAAGGAATAAACGAGATTTGTTCAAAAGTACCTTAAAATGCCATTCATAATCTTCGTCTGCAGGTCTAACATCAGTCACATTCTCAAGGTCTGCCTTGAAATAAAGACCGAGTTTCTTTTGCGAAAACGAAAGTTATAAGAAAACAAGAAATCAATATGACTCAAGAAATATCGTTGCCTTACCACCATGTTTTCCTGAATTTTATAAATTCACGAGAATGCAACTTTATATAACTCATGACACGAAGTGAGTCATTACTTGTTTTGTAAATAAGTCGATTTGCAGTGTAAAAATTCACTTTCTCCAACATGTCTTCAACCTCCTCTTCCTTTAAACCTGACCCGAAATTACCAACCCCAAATATTCATAATTCTTATCGAGAGAAACAAGCCTCACAGTTTCTCGAGCCATGTGAGTTGGCAAGTAAAGCTACCTTCAGATGTCTCGATCGAAACAACTATGACAAAAGGAAGTGTAACAGAGAATATTTGCAGTATCGTGAATGTAAACGAAAGTGGGTTAGTATATTCGAAAAAATTGGGTATTAGATGATAAAAGTAATATTTATCATTATATTTTTTTTCCCTAGCTCGAAGAACGTAAAGAATTAAGAAGACAAGGATTACTATGAGAAATGAGGGAACTTGAATTCGTGTCGAGATAGATTTGCCATTAAATTCTTAGCGTTATCACAAATAATCCGAGCTCTATTCGTGTTTCCGACGAATGGTTATTATTTTTCGTTCATGTTATTATTTGGAATCGAAATTAACAAGAATGCTAAATTAACGTCAGCGACTTTTAATTATTAGTTCTTGTTAAATTATTGCGTACAACATCCCATGTATAATTCTATACTAAATAATAATAATTAATTTATATTCTAAAATATCACTATAATAATAATAATAATAATAATAATAATAATAATAATAATAATAATAATAATAATAATAATAATACTACACTTTAGCATCAATAAAATAATAATAATAATAATAATAATAATTTAAAACCTATATAACTTAAAAAAGAGCTTTTCACCTACCACACACGTAAATCTTTCTATTTAAAATGAATATATGTATATCCTGATTTGAATGATGTTCAACAATGAAAATATAAATTTATGTCTACCTGAATAATTGTTTCCCAGATTCAATCATCACGATATCTGCGATAACCTCTATCATCTCTATCACGTCTATAATCACTACTACTTCCACGACTTCCCCTGCGACGTTCCTGCTCATAGTTTTGTGGTGGTGTTGGTGATTTTTGCTGTTGCTGCTGGCTTTGATCATAGTCTCTATTATAATCATGCTCACGTTGTTCGTGCTCTTTATCCTGATGATGGTGGTGATGATGATGTTCACGATCATCTCTACGATGAAGTTCTCTTTCCCGAGGTTTATCTTTTCTATAGTTGCGTGAATATGGTTCATGTCGATGATAATCACGTCGATGTTCTCTATATCCCCCTATATCACGATTTCCTATATCACGACTTCCTGTATCACGACTTGATAGAGAACTTCTCAATTGCTACGTAGAAATCAATTAAGTAAATGCTATTTAATTCGGAGATATACTCGATCCATAAAAATTGTAACTTACCTTCCACTCTTGAAGAGTCTCCCTTATCTGTTTATAGCCTGTATGTTGCTTCCCTGACCAGTGTGCCTCCAATCTAAAAATTTAGCAAATATTTATTAAATTTAATCGATTAAATTATTAAATTTAGAGATAGAAAAGGTAAAAGTTTTACCGATTTGATGTATCATTCGTCACTAGGAAAGCTCCACATACATCACACACCAACATCCTCCTTTCTTGTTTGAAAAGAGGATTTGAATCATCGCTCTAAAAGTGAGAGTGAGTGATGAAGAGAGAGAGTGATGAAGAGGCACATGGGAGAATTGGTTTCATGGATTTGGATGATAAATTATGAGGGTTAGTCAGGGCAAGAGAAAAATGAAGGTCTACCGATTTGAACATGTCTCGCCCTCGTCAACTTTTAGAGCGTATGTAGCTCCAATCAGTGCTGCTATCATAATGATGATAATAATAATAATATTGTGATGGCAAAAAAGACTAATTCCAAAAGTTGTCTATGCTGAATACACGCAAGGTTAGAACATCATCTTTGTGCAAAACACAAAAACGCGTGACCCCGTTCGCAAATTTCTTCGAGTTAACGAACAATCACACAATTATAATAACAACACGCCAACGATGTAAGTTACCTCGCAAAAATACAATCAAGTTTCTTGTTGCTGTTCATAATCCACATGCAAGAGGCAGACTTATGCCTCTCTTCACTAAATTCTTGATTGTATTAGAATATTACTCACGTTTTTTAAGAAATCCAATTCTTTTTGTAGAGCCTCCACCTCCTTTGTTAATGTTTGTGCTTCCTGAACACGTCCTTCCTCGCCTGCTTCTTCAACCTGCACACAAATTCATTTAATGGGATTGTTAAATAGAAATTCGATCTCACAGTCAAATGTTAATTAATGATTAAAAAAAGAAAATATTTTTTTCGTGTTATTATTTCCAAAAATAATAAAAATACCTTGATTAAAAGATCCTTGACTTTCTCATCCAGAATCACCATTTTTTCTTCTTTTTCGTCTTTGTTTGGATTCAATAACTGAACATATTATTTTTATACATTGATTAAAATAGATAATTTTACGCGTTGATCAGATAAAAAAAAACAATTAAATGCATAGCCTTAGCACAAACATACCGAATCATCTGGTCTCACATTCAACCGGTCTTTACCTTTCCGAATCTTCTTATCCAAGTCATTACACAGCGCCTGCAAATGATCATAGAATTTGATTTCATATCCGTATTTTTCTCGATCAGGTCTTTCTAAATATCTATAAAATAACACGAAATTAAATAACGGAACATTCAATTCAATTTTGCAAATTAAAAGATTGTCAACAATTGAATATAACATACTGTTTTCGAAGTTTTTCATCATGAACTTTAGTACATGGACCTTAATAGTAAAGCACCAGTTAGTAAAATTTTCAATATATTGATCAATATGTCGTATATGCGTGAGAAAAAGAAATTTATATACGCACCGAGATCGGATTTTGTGTTGGTAAAGAGTGTATTGGGACAAAATTTCACCAAATAATGCTTACAAACAGCGTCATCCCAAAAGTTATGCTTCGAGGTTGTCTCAAACGGAGACATTAGCTCTTCTAATAGTTGACGTTGATAGTCCATACTAAGTTTCTATATAGCCCTAAGAAACAAATGTTTAGAAGCTTTCTTTACACGTAGTCTCGTGATAGAACGGAATTGAAAGTAAGAAGTTAATTTTTGTCACACAATTTTCATTTATATGAATGCAGTTTAGCATTGTTTCCTTAACATGTCAAATAATGTTCTAATATACACGAACTTATCAAATGCCGAATCATGTTCCAACAGAAGAATTACCAGTACTCGAAGCACTAATTAACGTTCGAAATCGACTACAAATTCTGAAAAGGGACCGAAGCATTAACCCGGCAGATGTGATTGCTATTTACGAAGAGGCAAGCATGAATTTTAAACTAGTATTTTGCATTCAATACGATTTCTCAATAGACATAGTTTTGGTTGAAAATTTAGGTCATTAAACAATTAGAAATCCTGCACACTTCTCGAGAACAGTCTCTGTCACCGCCCGTAGAAAATAATCGTGTCAATGATGTGCTTGACGACGTTTTTCAATTACTTTCACTGTTTTTTATGGCTATAGGCAAGAACCGTGAAAGTCCTGCTGTTTATGTACAACTCTCTACCATAAAGGCATATATTTCCTCCCGTAATATGTAAATTGCTATAACATATTTACATTAGTGTTACTAACAATGAAATATTTATCCAGCAATGCCTGAGGAATTTGGACGAGTCGGGTGCATATACCCTAGGTAAATTAGAATTTATTTTTTGTGATATCAATGGTAGATTTTTAATTTCACATATTTTATCTAGATGAATTAGTACCATATCAAGAACGTTTAAAAGAGATAGCTAAAATAATAGAAGCGGATGAGAATAACGATAGTGTTCCAGAATATCAACTTAAATTGTTGAAGCAAAAATTGTTATCATGTGGTAAGATATATTTTTTTAAGCATATGTCGCCAAAAAAATGTTTATTCATCGTCCTTGCTCTTGATTTAGAGAAATTGTTGAATCAACTTTTCGAATCTGGATCAAACATCAGCAAAGTACTTGCTCCAACACAAAAACGTCTCGTCGAAATAAAAAGAGAATTAGGCGCCATTGGAGCAAAAGCAGAATTTCAAATTGACGAAATTCGTATGCTTCAGGATGAATTACGCAAAATTGATGGAGCGCGAGTGGATGGAAAATTTCTTTCGTTGGATGGATCCATTCCTCCGGGTCAGGCACAAGTAATTGGACTTTTAGAAGAATGTTACGAAGATGTCCATGAATTAATTGCAAGCAAAAAAATTGTCTCTAATGAATTGAAACCTACTTATGATCGATTAATTGGCTTGAAATCAAGCCTTGAAAAACTGACGATAACTCATCGTTGGACTATACGTGAGACTGATCTTTGGATTTATCAAAAACAATTATCAGAGATTGACGGTACGAGAACAGACGGGAATTTCTATGATGAAAAAGGAAATTCACTTAAAGGGCAAACGGTATGTTTTAATTTTTTCAATGTATATCTTTAACGAATGAGCGCTATATTAATTGTCGAGGTATAATAATTATGGCAGGTGCTTCTTTATTTATTACATAAATGCTATCACATAGTTTATAGAATTTTAAGCTCCAGCGAGCCGGTCGCAGGTATAATACAACCCTTTTATTTGTTCAAGTTCATCGATTACCAGTATCATTAAAAGACCTTTAAAATAGAGGCTCTAGTACCTATACGCAACCAACTACAAACAGTTCGTCGATTCTTAAATGAAGTTAAAAAATGGGGCGGACCGTTTACCGGTGAGTTGATAACTCGTGTTGATATTTTTGCGTGTTATATGAAGACTTACCTTTTCGGGTTTTGGTTATAATTTTTTAGCAAGAGAACTTTATCTCTATCAAATGAAACTCACGTCAATTGATAATTTACGCGTTGACGGGAAATTTTTGGATGAAAATGGTGGGGTGCCAGAGGGACAAGGCATTGTGATGGCGTTGTTGAATGAATGCTACGATATTTTATTTGAATTGAAATCGGATATTGTAGAAGAAACATAGGATATTTTATATTTAAAAGTTTTGAATAGATAATATTTATACCCAATAGGTATCGTTATCAATTTTACGCAAAATATTTTTTTCGTGGACAAACGTATCGTGAATTGGAAAATCGAACATGTATCCCATCGGAATGTGCAATTCCAAAAGAACTTCCGCGCCAGTCAAAATAACGAAAAGGAATGCGCACACTGGTTATTGCGATGCAAATCCTTTCTCAAATTTTTCTTAAACCAACGATTCGAGCTTGTCCAGGTTGTTAACACATTCACCCTCAGATCCTCTCTTCGTGCTGCACGTACTACTGCTATACAATCAAGACAAGGCTGTTACAAAGAAATTATTTATACAAGGAGCACCTGTAAGATGAATCTATACAATAGAAGTTCCTGGAACAAGTACCATAATGAATGTTGAACGTCGAACTCATTTTTGATTTTTAGCCATTATAAAGATTGTGGCTATTCTTGCCACACCACCCCTTTCCCTGCATTACCTTGATCAGTTAGGTTGATAACAAAAAGTAGTGAGACATTAATTTGGTTTATTATTGCAATGAAGAAATCTAATAAAAAAGCTTCTTAGTAGTGGTACGCATGATCCAACTTCAATAAGACCAAAATATCAAGCGAACTAAATTCCACGATGCCTATAAAACCATATATTTTGTAAACCGATTTTAATCGATGGTGGTAAAAGTCTTCAATCGTTAGTAATATCAGTTAACAAAAAAAAAACAGAAAACACTACACGCGCATTAACAACAAACTACGTGACCGGTGTAAGTGAAGATTTCCGAGTATCATTACTTAGAAAATCGTGCTAAGAGAAAACCAATAGAATTAGAAGTGCTTGAGGGTATTACTTGTGTCACGTCTTCACCGACGCGTATTGTGTTGAGCGGTTAATATTAGGAAGTGGCGCAAACCGGAACCTTATTATCAAAAGGCATTTTGTGGATGATGAGCCTCAAAAAGAAAATGAGAAAAAATAATCGAAGGCTTTGTTTAATTTTGGCTTTATTATTATTATTGTTTGTGATAAAAAAAATACAGATTATTGCCATTGTTCAATAATTTTGATGTGTAATGTGCACATTTTTTGACTATATACGAATTTCAGACACAGTGTGTAAGGTCGATTTCTGATGTCAACAGTAATTTCAATTTCATCAAATCCAAAAGGATAATAATAAACCAAAGTTATAATACGCGCGTTAATTCAGAGTGACTGGATCAACGTGATATTATCGCCTTTCAACAAGATCCTACCTACAAGAATATAATGAGTATTTTAAACGAAAAACATGTTAGGAACATAGTCGGAAAAAAATCGAAAAGGTAAAAAGCACTTTAAGAATCAATCAAAATATAAACCTAATCCTTTCCGCGTCTTCTTTTTCGCATTAACTTCTTCTGCACTGTCAAGTACCAAGTTCATAAATTCGTCAAATCCCTATAAAAAATCATACCGATAATAAGTAAATAACATCACGTAGATATTATTTTATTATTGGGTATAAAAAATCACATCTCACAATAATTTGTCCTTCGATTCGTAAATCTACTTGTTCATACAACCAGATTTGTACACGGGTTTTCTAAAAGAAATCGAATCGAAATAAATGAATTATCCACCACTCGTTTCGATTTGATCTGATCTAATTAATCCGACGCAATAAAAAGGTGATGCTTACATTTTGAAGATACTTGAAAATCAAGTTCTAAAAATTAAACGAATCGATTATTTTTAATATGTGTTGTTATTATCCCCAAGTAAAGAAAAAATTATCTTACAATAGGCTGCACCATAATCTTTTGAACTTTGGTCGCCATTTTTATTATTATTTATTTTTCTATATCGATGGTAGTAGTAGTAGTAGTAGGAAATCGTCTTCGTTTTAGTATTATATTAAATATTATCTATTATCTTCAAATGTTATTTACTGTATTTTTTCTTAAAAAACTTATGGATGATGAACTTCTATTGGTTAATTTGGATAAACATGAATTAATAACATCTTTTCTTAATTACACGGACATGTATTTTATTTTCGAATGCACAAAAAGAATAATAATATAGTGATTTTTTTCCAAGAACGAGCAAATTAGTAGTATTGATCCACAGTTAATAAAATATATCAGAATTTAGGGGAACACTAAAGCCGGTTAGTGCAATCCGGATTGAGCCAATCCAATCCGTATATATCCGGATTTGTTTGATCCGAATTGGCGAGTAAGTAAGAAAAAAAATGAAGATATTGGATTACCGAACGAAATTGTGTACGCATTAGCATTCGCATGATTTCAATCACATGACATGGATTGAGTTAATCCGGTCGGATATCTAAATCACGTGAAACTAGTTGTACCCCAGAATTTAGAAGGCTTGAAAGTTGTTAAAAAGGTGGAACTAAGAATAACGCGAAATTGAAAAGATTACATGTAAACTTTATTGAGAACAAAAGATTCTTTTGAGGATAGCAACATGCATGATTGATCAGAAGTCATAAACATTATTTATTGTTCATTGTTCTGGCAGATATATTCTTCACTTGGGACTACAACTAGATTGTTAAAAGTCACTATTTTTAGAAGTTCAGTTATAATTAAGTATTTATTTTGTTAGTTTGTTATTACTTTGCATTAAAATTGTATACTGTCGGATTGTTGCTATTACTAATTCCAAATTTTTCTAAACGGAGGTATTTAGTTTTCGTAGGGAAACATCATATACAACTATTAAATTTGGAAATAAACATGAGGAAAAAATATACGCTTTTTATAATAAACGATTGAAAGTTACTGCCCATACCTTCTTCAATCCTCTTGATGTTGTACTGTGGAAAAGAATCAAAGCGAAATTAGTTAAATGTTTTGAACCCTAACCCCGACATAAGAAAGGTAGTAAACAGTATTACTTTGATACCATCAAACCGTTTACGCAATTGATCGTTTTTCAGGTTCAGCAATTGAAATCCGTTGTGCAATTCCTTGACAAATTTCGAGATTCGAATCGGTCGATTGTAGTCTCCCTGAGTTACAGAGTTGATTGCAAATCTCGACTATAATTGGAAAATAAAAATTATAAGCTATAGAAGAAATTAAGAATAGTCAACGTTTTAATTACCAATTCATTTGTCAGATTTATCAAACTATGAAGAAATTCCTCAACTGATATATGAAATTCTTGAAGATCGTTATTAATATTAACGGGAACTTGATGCGATCAATTATAAAAAGTTAAACTACGCAAATATCAATTAACATTTATTTAACAATCTTGAAGTTTTACCACCACTCAATGTTTGTAATTCCTCGATAGTGATGAACCGTTCCTCAAGTAAGTAAACAGCAAACGCGGCAAGAGAATTTGATGTTTGTACCGCTCGAGTCCAGATATCATGATATCTTGATGACAAATTCAGCTAGAAGTATCAGCATTCATTTATCAGCGAACAGATTATCAATATTCAATTTGAGGATTGCATGAATCCACTTGCCTATAATATTGTTGGTAGGGTACAATTTGTGCCAATGATTGGATGTGTTGTCGAACTTCGCTAAATTTTTCAAGAGCTTTTCGTGCAATAGCTTCAACTAGCCAAACATGAAATATTTCGTATTATTAATATCTTACAATTCTCTTTGTAGCCTGTTCTTCCAATTAGAAAAAAAGTCATTTTTGGCTGAAATTACTTTCTCCTGGTTGTGCACTATGCACGCCATTTAAAATTACTGTAATGTTGCGACATATTCGTTCATACTCTTTTACTAATTGATGAATTTCCTAAAAATGTATAAAATGTGGACTAATTTATTCTATTCTTGGAATCCAAGAGAGAGCCAAAATCACATACATCTCTCCTGTTTGATTCTGCTTCCATGTTCGTGTCAAGGCTGCTGATAAAGCTAAAGTCGATAGACATCATGAATTGTAAAAGGTGTATTGTTAACATTGGTGTTAGACATTGTATCAACATAAATACAATTCATCATGTGACTTAAAAATTTAACGCGCGTTATTACGTGTTTCTTGTGTTTGAAAAAAAAATTCATTTCACAATTTTCCAAATTCTCACAAGGGTTTCACGTTTTGCGCAGAACTTTCTGTTGCTATAGCTTTTATATAAGGCTGAAATACTTTAGCTAACATGCTGCTTAACACCTCGAAAGGCTAGTATATGATTGAGTTACATTTTTAAATAAATTAAAAATCAAAATAAATTTACCTTAATTACCGAAAAATGCAGTTGCGCCGAAATCACTCTTGACGTATTTCACGAAAACGTTGACTATCTTCAACAAAAACACGTGCTTTTGTGGTTATGCGAATAAACGAGAATTTGCCACGGCTACAACTGATGTCGCCACCACCAACACTCTTACTCCTCTCATAGAAACAAACCCCGACTTTGTTGATGTTGTTCAGCGCCCAAAAGCTGGTGACTTTAAACTTTCAAAACCATTTTTGGCAAAATATAAGGACGCTATACCTCCCTTTGGGTTCAATGGGCTTGGTGAAATTGTATATCGGCGTAGTTATTCTCGGTTAAAGAAAGATGGAGAGAAAGAGCAGTGGTCGGTGTAAAAATCCATAGGTTGATTCTTTAAATAAGATAAAAGATTAATCTTTTATATGTAGGTGGGAAACAGTTGAAAGGGTCGTCAATGGAACATTTAATATTCAGAAAAGGTGGCTTGAACAAAATGAACTTGTTTGGGATGCATCTCAAGTGTGTATTTTTTGCTTTTCTATTTTATATATATATCGATTTTTATTTTGACGATATTTTACTAAGAGTTTATTATAATTAGGCACAACCAACTGCACAAATTATGTATGATAAAATTTTCAATATGAAATTTTTGCCTCCCGGAAGAGGTAAAATTCAAACATACATCTCGTCTAATCCTAATATGTTTATAAACTTAATTTATTCATCGTTTACAGGTTTATGGGCAATGGGGAGTCCTCTTACCGAAGAACGTGGTATGTTTGCCGCGTTAAATAATTGCGCATTCGTAAGTACAGAAAATATGTGGGATGTCGGTCCTAGTACACCTTTTACGTTTTTGATGGATGCATCCATGTTGGGGTGAGCTTAAAATTTTATTGTCGCATGTCGTAGTTCATTTATCATATTTTCATAACATTTTCTTCTATTCCTATTTCTGTCCTGAAAAAGAATTGGTGTTGGATTTGATACAAAAGGTGCCGCGGCTGCAAAAGCTAAACAAAATCTAGTCACACCGCCAAATCATTCAAAGCCAGTGAATAAATATGTAATAGAAGATTCTAGAGAAGGTGAAGTAAAAATTTATCACATTAAACTTTTAAGATCTAGAATTAATTTATTTTATTTAGGTTGGGTGAAATCTGTTGGAATGTTAATTGACTCATATCTCGAGAAAAATGTCGCACCTTGTGAATTTGATTATTCTCTTATAAGATCTGCTGGACAGCCTATAAAGGTAATAATGGGTTATTCATGCAATTTCATTATAACTTAGATCTTCAACTGATTATGGGAACATGCAGGGCTTTGGTGGTGTATCTTCTGGTTCTACTCCCTTAATCCATCTACACAATCGGATTCGACAAACTCTGGAAAATCGTGTCGGCGCACCATTAAGCGTCACTGTAATTGTTGATATAATGAATTTTATCGGAAAATGCGTAGTCAGCGGAAATGTGAGTTGTAATTTGACATTAATCTTCGATATTTATTTTGCGATGCAATGAAATGAAATGAAATAAAATATAATATATTCAAGGTTCGAAGAACGGCAGAAATTGCGTTCGGTGATCCCTTGGATAATGAATACATCGATTTAAAAAACTATTTGGTGAATCCACATCGAAGTGAGTATGGATGGACATCTAATAATTCGGTGAGTAATGCGCGCTATATGCTTATTTAATTGATTCAGTGTACTTTTTCTTGCTAAATTCGAAAGTAAAACATTATCTTTTTCCATTCCCTCGATTGTCATTTGATAGGTGTTCGCGCCATTAGGCTTAAATTACGCAAAAATATGTGATCGCGTGGTTAATAACGGAGAGCCAGGTTTTGCATGGTTGGAAAATGCACGAGCTTATGGTCGTATGGCCGATCCAGTGGTAAAATTAAATCTCTTTTCTTTATTCGTGATTGTAACTGTAATTAACTTATAACGCCTTTGCTATCAGAGCTATAAAGATCGACGAGCCCAAGGTGGTAACCCTTGTCTAGAACAGACCCTCGAATCTTACGAACTTTGTTGTCTCGTGGAAGTTTTTCCGTGCAATCACGCGACATTCGATGATTTTCTCGAGACGCTACAGAGTGCGTTCCTATATGCCAAAACTGTGACTTTGGCAAGAACTCACTGGGCGCAAAGTAACGCTGTCATGCTAAGAAATCGTAGAATTGGGTGTGGCTTGAGTGGGTGTGCACAGTTTATTAGTCAGCGAGGTAAACGAATTTATATAATATAATGGATATAATGTAATATTAATGGCCGTTTTTTTATATTTATTTTTTTATTATTTAGGATGATTACTTGCTTGTTTACGTTTCTTTATAATGTGATGAACTTATTAAATTTTTTTTTGGATTTTAGGCCTTGATGAATTCAAACTTTGGTGCGAAAAAGGATATGCTTATATACAAGAAATTGATGAGACGTGAGCATTATTCAGTAAAAAGATATCTTGATAATGTGTTATTACCTTGGAGTTACATATATCAATATTTAATTTTGTTACTGAATCTTCAACCTTAGAATCTCTGAATGGTTTTGCATACCCAAATCCATCAAAACAACGACCATCAAACCAAGTGGTACCGTTTCGCTTTTAGCCGGAGGTAAATAATTCTGAAATAAAAAACAATTGATTGACCAATCTACTGTCGGAATAAATCATTAATAAATATACTAATTAGCAACCCCCGGAATGCACTATCCGGAATCACGATACTGTATACGTCGTGTTCGCATTTCGAAACATTCAGAGTTGGTTGAGCCCCTGTCGAAATACGGGTTTAAGGTGGAGCAAGACGTCGTGGAACCGAACTCTCTTGTCGTTGAATTCCCGATAGATCACGGCGAGGGAATAAGAAGTTTAAGTGAAGTGAGCATGTGGGAGCAGTTAAGCTTGGCGGCATTTTTGCAAAAGTATTGGTCTGATAATCAGGTATTTTTTTCGGTGTATGTTTTTCGATACATTTGAGCATTTCATGCGACATCAATAATAATAAAGTATCGAATTTAGGTTAGTTGCACAGTAACATTTGATCCTGTGACCGAAGCTCAACATTTAGAACATGCTCTTAATTATTTTCAATATCAATTAAAAGGTAAATTTAATTTTTGTCTTTTTTATTTGCTTCCTATTATTTACCTCATCTCGCACTTTATACAGGTGTCTCCTTTCTTCCACGGCTAACACATGGGGCATACCCACAAATGCCTATAGAGGCAATAACAGCAGAGCAATATGATGCAATTCTCGTGTCTCTTCCTCCACAACCGGCCCCACACTCACCTAAACCTCCAAAATCCGCATCAATAACGGGCAAGAAACACAAATCAATAAGACTGGATTTCCGTGGTGTAAAGTCCAAAGATAAATCTGACCCGGATATGGAAAGATTTTGTGATTCGACTAGTTGTGTGATTGACGCTATCCCGAAAGGCAGAGGGATAAAAAGTAGAGCGATATCCGGCGCGGAACAAGAATGTCAGTAGCCTTAGAAACACCACAGGACATCCTACAACAATTAAGTATGCGTACAATCCATTAACTATTATATAATATAGACATTCTATTACTCATTAGTTAAAGGATTCCCTTAAATCATCAGAAGGGGAAATTGAAAACCATCAACAGCCTTAAGTTTAGGAAAAACTAAAGGATCAGCAAATCAAGAAAGGCAGGATTTGTAAATCAGTAAAAGCGGAGCCGTAAATATGGCTTTGCACTAATGACGTCATTATAGAATAAATACTTTGTACGATAGTAATAAAATTGTGTTTTATTTTGTTTCCGAGTTTATTTCTTTTTTAGTTCATCAAATAAAAACCTAATCGTAACCTGTTTTTCGAAACATAATTCTCGAAATGGTCGATATCAATTTAAAAGAGTATATACCTACGATACGCACCATACTAGAAGAGTCGGACCTCAATGTTATCACAGCCAAAGATGTCAGAGTGAAACTGGAAGAACAGTACAAAGTTGATCTAACATCGCGAAAACTCGAAGTACAAAAGATCACTGAGGAGTGTTTTGATGAATTTGAATTGGAGTTTGACGACGACGACGACGACGATGACGACGAAGGTGTGAAGGTAAAAGTTGAAGATACGAAAGTAAAAATTGAAGATACGAAGGAAATTAATGGCGAGCGGACCAAAAAAGCGTCATCACAAAAGACATCTAAAAAGACTGGAAAAACAAAAGGGCGACCACCGAAATCGAAACAAGTAAACAATATTGTCACTCCCACTACCACTAATAATGGAACGGATACTTCGTCAATAGACGATGATCGTCATTCGGACTTCAATATGGCAAATAATAATAAAAAGAAACGAGGTCGAAAACCAAAAAATCCCATCAAAAGTGCCCTCAATGCGTCTGATGATGAAACTAACAACAATGGTACTCCTAATGGCAAAAAATCATCGAAATCAAAAAACGGAGATATACCCAAGAAAAAGAAATTTTCAAACAAAAGAAAAAAGACTGAAGAATTGGAAGATAATGATGGAGAGGCACCACCAAAAAAACGAAAGGGCAACACGGGAATACATAAGCCATTGTTACTGAGTCCGGTATTATCGGCATTTCTTGGCCAAGAGGAGGTAGATAAACAGACTAATAATGATTTAGTGTATAATACTCATTTGATTTTTAGTAAATTTGATCTCTCTTTTGTATGTAGCTTTCTAGGCTCGAAGTAGTTAAACGTCTTTGGACCTATATTAAAGAGAACAATCTTCAAGATCCCAAGGACAAACGATATATTATATGCGATGAGAAGTTGATGCATATATTTGGCAAGGATCGAATGCACAGTTTTACAATGAACAAGTATCTCACTGTTCACTTAAAGAAAAAAGATGATACTTCTGGATTTCCGCCTAGCGTTAATGATCAAGGCAATTCGAGTATAGCAGGTGGCGATGAAGAACATGAAGAGTTTAGTGGTGACCAAGCTGACGACACAAAAATGGAAGATCTACTTGATTCGGTAGATGATCCAGAGAATGATGTCATAATTAAAGAAGATGAAGAAAGAGATGGTGGCGGAGCTGAAGATGAAGCTCGTACTGAAGAGCTGCTTAGTCAAGCAGACGAGACAAAAACTGATTACCTTTTTGGAGATGACGATAATGATAATGGATGGGGTGAGGCGACACATAATGATGAAGAGTCGGAAGAAGAACAACCAGCGTCATCCATGAAAGTCGAGTCATCCGAAGAATAATATATTAAATTATTACTATTCAAACAATACTTTCATTTTCATGACACTTGAGTTGCTATATTTTACCTTAAGCGACAAACCATCCTCGTTTCTATGTACACACACACACATATATATCACCTTTTTCAAAATTGGGAAATAATAGTATTATGCTGCGGGATTATTAATTATTTTATTCATCCGTCCCATTTATCCATCAATAATTTCTTTTGATAAGAAATTTATTTAGTGATGATGTGATGGAAAAATTTGTATAGCTCAACTAATTAATTTACATAATTTTATATATAATTATAGAACCTAATGTTAGTTAAACAATCCATTACGTATGTTTTCATATAATTTTTATTTTAATACCTTTTCTCATATCTACTCTACTTTGATAATCGATAATACTTTTTCTTCTTTTATATATAATATTTATCTGTTTATTATTTTTACATGCTGTATTATATTCATTTTATTTTTATAATTAGTTGAATATATATATATTTGGTTTCATTTTTCATAATTCCATAGTTGTTGCGGTTGATCCTCTTTCGTCCAATACGCCCTTCTTTAACGAGACTTGTATGTGCACGGCGGAATTATATCTTTTTTGTATTTCATAGTCCTGTTCCTGAAAAAACGCAAGAGAATGAAACATTATATATAGCGAAAAGATTCATTAACAAACTATTATCGAACTACATAAATAATTCTTCCCCGATTAATCAAAAAATATTAACTTTATAGCAAAATAAGCAAATAAAAAAACAATATTTTTAGGAGTCTTCTTACTTCGTCTTCTGGTTCAATATCATCAAACAACGACACCGTACTCGTAGTTGTTTTGTATTCTATCTGATTGTGTGTTGTTTCATTTAATTGCATCACAAGGTCGATTGCCCTTGGAATCGCAGGACCGAGAGCATGTATTATGATTTTAGGATACCTTTGGATTATAGGTTCAGAATCCCAACATTTTCATTATCCAATTAATCAAAGAAAGATCTACATTATTAGAATTACCTTACCTCTCCTGAAGAAGTAGTTTTTTAGCACGTTCCAATTGTCCAATAAAATTTGGTTTCTTTCGCGAAATGTACAAGTCAAATGGCATTGTTGCAGGTCGTTGTGGTGCTCTTTTTAGTATCTTTTTTGGCCCCTTAGTGGTATTCTTGGTTTTTTCTTTATTTTTCTTACCGTTATCTTCTACCTTCTTGCCCTTGATAATAGTGCTCATTTTTTGAATTGATGATTGATGTTCGAGTGTAGATTATTGTAAAACTACAAACAAAACAGAATGCCAAAAATCAAATCAAAGTTAAAAACCGCGTTACTTAAACTTCAGCAAGAGAAATCAATTCGAGATAAACGAATAAATAATATACGCAACAACAAACATACTACTAACGCTAATATTATAGGTAGTGGTAACAGACACATATCAAAAGCAAAGCATAATAAAGGCAATGAAAAAAATAATAATACCCTGAGGCCTCGACCACCTCCTTATAAGCATGGCGAATCAATTTTATTGATTGGAGAAGGTATCATTATATCCATTTAATTAGATTAATTTCTAAATCTTAGATCTAATTAATTTTATAATTAAACCGATAAATAAAATAAGGAAACTTTAGCTTCGCATGTTCTCTCGCAGAACATATTCTAACCACTGGTGAAACAATCACTGCAACTTCACACGATAGTGAAGAACTAGTCTATGAAAAGTATGAGGATGCACGTGAGAATATTAAAATCCTTAGAGAGTACGGAGCAACAGTGTTGTTTGAGATCGATGGGACTCTGTTGGAGAAGTATAGGGTCTTGAAGGGAAAACGATTTGATAAGATCATATTTAATTTCCCACATGTTGGTAGGTATTTATAATGCAATAAATTATTTGTTCGCCAATATTATCCAATTCTAGTTCTTAGTTGCGTCATAATAAATATCTTAGGAATGGGCATAAAAGACAAAGATCGAAATATCCTCGCAAATCAAAAACTTTTACAGGGATTTTTTTCCTCCTCGTCAAAATTCCTCAAATCTAGCATACTCTATTCAGCTGAAGACGTGGCCAATGGAGAAATTCATGTCACCATGAAAACAGGACTGCCATACGATGAATGGAATATCCGAAAGATTGCAAAGAGTGCTGGTATTTTGACAATAAAAGAAACAATTCCGTTTTTGGTGGATCATTATCCTGGATATCAACATCGAAGAACATTGGGATTTAAGGATGGAGTGAGTAAATGTGGGAACGAAGAGATTTTGTCAAAGAATCCGAAGACTATTGTATTTGTTAGAAAGGAGGTGGTTGATCCTCAAATACAGGAAGTTAAAAAGAAGAAAGCGAAAAGTGAAAGCGATTATGAAGATAATTATTGAAGATTTTCTCAATTAAGATAATATATGCGAAAAAGAATGTTTGTTCTTGATATTTTAATTTACATTTCAAAACCTTACAGATAATTATCTACTAGAAATACCACCAGTGATTGATGATCAGTTTCTTGTATTGCTTCTATGCTTGAACTTATTATAAAGAAGTTTTAAAAATTAACTTGAGCAAATTGAAAAATTTACTTCATTCATGAGAGCCCCAGGGCTTGGGTCAGCAACATGGTTATATCCAAGAAGGGAAAAATCGATACACAATATCCCGTTGCCAAAGAAACTGGTCCAGCATGAGACCCTCGAAAATTATCTAAAGTCGATTTTACAGCCTTCTTTTAATGAACAATTACTGTCTTATTGTGGGCGAACATGGAACAGGAAAGAATACGTTAATTAAACAAATTATATTGGATCTCCATGAACCGAAGGTAATTCATTTCAATATTTCCCTCCCTTTTCGGTTATCCGCATTCAATTTCTTTTTGGTAAGGCATTATCCATTTAAATGTCCTTCAGACAAAAAGTACAATAAGGACCGAAAATAATGAAAAAACACGTACTATCAAACGACCATTTGTGTAATAATTAAATCTGTTCACCATATTGAAATCTACAACATGGTAGAATTTTGAGACATTTCGGACACAAATGGTTATTTTACAAGTTTCGAAAGATCAACCAAAATTCCCCCAACTTCGTTCGTGAACTTTGAACGTGAAATTGACCACAATGTCAAGTTTTAACACGATAATGCTAATAATAAAAGTTGTTTGTCAAGTTCTAGTCTAATTAATATCAAATTTTCAGCAAATTTGGTATAATAGTTCACGAGATATTGTGCAAAACTGATGATTATTTTCCGATTAGATGTATTGAACTAAATAATGATGACCTTTAAAAAATAAATAGAATGTCTGAAGCTACTCAATTGAGTTGAAAAAATTACACTTTGCATAATAACTAGTGAACTAATATACCAAATTTGCTGAAAATTTGATATTAATTAGACTAGAACTTGACAAACAACTTTTATTATTAGCATTATCGTGTTAAAACTTGACATTGTGGTCAATTTCACGTTCAAAGTTCACGAACGAAGTTGGGGGAATTTTGGTTGATCTTTCGAAACTTGTAAAATAACCATTTGTGTCCGAAATGTCTCAAAATTCTACCATGTTGTAGATTTCAATATGGTGAACAGATTTAATTATTACACAAATGGTCGTTTGATAGTACGTGTTTTTTCATTATTTTCGGTCCTTATTGTACTTTTTGTCGATCCATTGAAGCAACGAGGAAAGGTATTATATTCCTTTTTGTGCTTCAATTTATACTTAAACAAATGAATCATCCAGAATACCCACTTATTAAAGCAGCTTGTTCCAAACTTTTGAATAAATATACATATTAATCATCAAGATTTAATTTTTAATTACTTGATTTATCATTATGAAAAAAAAATAAGATTCAAGCTACGTATGTTTATTGTCGTTATGTACAATTAGCAAAAATGATTTTTGTATATCACAAGTTTTAGAATTTCATCCGTTCCGTATGATTATCTCTTATCCGCCAACATCCGCGTAAAGTCTAACTAATAAGATGCGGAAATAACTTTGTGATCCACCTTGGCAGTTGGGTTTTTTTTAAGAATATTGTGCTTTAACTTTTGCGCGTAATCGTCAAGTTTAGAATTTTTGTTTCTCATTGACGTAATCAAATAGTCCACCGACCAAGTATCCACACTCTTATCATGGGCACCTAGAGGTATCTCGGGTACATGATTATCCACAGCCATTGCTGTGTATGCAGTTGAAAGAGACTGACGTGCATCGTCAAAATAAATAAGGAACCATTCTTGCCGGACGGTGTACTTCATGATGTTTTCCCATCGTACATCGAATTCACGCTATGAAGAGCCTGGGAGGATGTGTTACAGAAATCATGCGTTTCCCCAAGTATACGAAAAATGTTACCTTTACGACCGAAAAAACGCATGAGATAAATATAAATATCTCACCATGTTAATTTTTTTGTGAATCCATCATCTTCAATAGTTTTGGAACTGAGAAAACACAAAACTCAATTTGTTTGTTCACATCGGGAAAGTATTCTTTTAGTTTGATTGCATTGTGGCATTCCACAATATCCTACGACGCGTTGGAACTTGTTCGGTCAATGGATAACCTATGATACGGAACCTCCCTCGGTCGATATCCTACGATGCGTTGGAACTTGTTCGGTCAATGGTAACTTATGATGCGGAACCTTCCTCGGTCGATGCTTGGAAAGGGGTGTGTTGGTTCCTTCTAGGATCAGCTTAGCACCCGAGTTTGATAGCCTCTTTCAGTATATTGAACCTAATGAATATCCTACGACGCGTTGGAACTTGTTCGGTCGATGGGTATCCTACGATGCGGAGCCTCCTTCGGTCAATGCTTGGAAAGAGGTGTGTTAAGCTCAGCATTTGAGTTTGATAGCCTCTTTCAATATCCTATGATGCGTTGGAACTTGTTCGGCTTCTAGCATGAGTTTAAATTTATTGATTAAAGTTTATTTTTTATATTTAATCACGCTCATTTCAATTTTTTATTAGTACATTCTGAAACTCAAAAAGTCTTGAAAGAATCTAGGTAAGTCTTCTAATAATATTACTATTGCATTTAGTTTCTATATGCTGCTTACATAACGTCGATGGATACCCTACAACGCGGAACCTCCTCCGGAAAGGGGAGTGTTAGGCGCCTGCTAGGATCAGCTTAACACCTGAGTTTGACAACCTCTTTCCAGAATTCCATTCTGTCAATGCCAGTCATATTTAGTTGCCGATATTATTAGGTTATGAACATTTCAAGAACAATTGCCCTGTACTTGAGTGAAGTAAACTACCCAAAATTGTCCGTTGCTTGTTTAAAATATTGGTGACATTTGGTATGTTCCATGGAACTTGGCATATTTCTTTTTAGACGATCTAATTTGTTTAATGTTATTTATCACACGTTTACTAATTGCTCACTCATGATATTTCTGATGATATCTTCACGAGCGTTAGTCTCCGTGAGATAAATCAGATATCACACGGATCAGCCTTGATATCAAGACATCCCGTGAGATATCTATTACTTAGAGAACGCTCCAGGATTAGATAATCTGTTCAAATTTAAGGTTTCTCTATTTTAATTTGACTATTGATTGATGTGGTGACCGAAGAACAAGGTATTTTTTATTCATTATTGAACGAGCTTTTAATTGTGAATTAGAAATCCAATCTAAATATTTATTTCTTAATAAGCATTAAAATTTGCAAAAAGGTATTACAAATACTGTGTTAATTGTCAGTAGCGGTGTTTCAGGTAATGTAGCTGCAAAAAGTTAATTTTCTATTTTTTAATATTTAATTTTTTTGAACGCGTCATTTATGGGATGGCTCTTAATTTATAGTCAAGAATCGTATTACCCACCGTTTGTTTATCGCTCCAATTCAAATGAAGCAACCAACCACTAAAATGTTAATTCAGCGAGCTATAATAGATGAAATATCATAGATTTGTTGCTTGTGTTCGTCGATACGGTATTAACTTATTTGCTGTGAAAAATTTTGGAATAGATTTACAATAATATGTAACTGGTGTTCAAGGGATCAAGTCTTTTGCTTTATTTGACGAGAATGATACCTCATTTAATGATAATGACATGACTTTTACCAATGCAATAATGCGAAAATCAATTTGGAGGAGAATGTAATCTATTATTGTCTTTTACCCTGCACTTCCGTAATACGCATGTTGAACGTCAACCAATTTCTTACCCCTTTGTCTTGCAATATCTTGCGGTAATCTTTGAGCCGCTAACGCTTCAAAAGTAGCTTTGATTACATTCATACCATTAGTTGAACCACGCACTTTACCTGTCAAATCATGAATTCCCACACATTTACAAATCTCATGAACATAATGATTGCACCGAAGACCAAAACCTAATTAATAATATTAATAAATTGAGAACTTCATTTTCCCAGAGTCAATCAAAAAAAAATAAATCCTACCAGGTGGCCTCGCCATCAACTTCAATCGTGACGCCCCAAACTTATGTTCAATATCATGATATATTGTCCGCTCATCATACCTCTCAAAATAATGTAAATTCTTTATAGCGACATTAGTCGCCTTCTTTATTGACATAATCACCTCCTCATGTTTTCCTTCGCCATATCCGGCGACACCTTCTCCGTTCCCCACCACAACCAACGAATACATCAATTGCATTTTTCCCTTCCCGGTGACATGAACCACACGTTTAATAATCAATGCTTTTTTGAGAAGTTTATTGATTCGTTCGACGGAAAGCCCGGTGATCACGGATAATGTTTCATTGTCGTTTTCTAGTTGTGAGTTAAGAATTATTTCGGGTTTCGTGATGGGAAACTTTTGATTAAAGTGGCCGCCTTCAAAATCGAGTATCGGATGAACCTTATCGAGGTTTGGTATTTGGTCCTTTGCTAAGAAGGGTAGTCGAGGACGTCGTAGTAGGGTGCGAGATACGAACATAGTTCAAGCTACATAATAAATTTCCCTGATCGAGCAACTCCAACAAATTTTCACGCTCACGTGATTGCCCCTTTATTACCTCTTTATAATCACTATCACATTTTATCGTTATACCGATACCCTTCTATATTATCACATTTACAAAAAAGGACTAGTTATCGTTATAAATATGTCTTTTGGCTTACATTCGTGTAACACAAAAAATAATAAAAGGAACGCGCTTCGCACTCAAAAAAAACATACACCCACTCACTTTCTTGAAAAAATAATATTAGGGTTTTTTGTACTCTACCCATGTTCTAGTCGTTAATAAACAAATCGATCGAATGAGATAATGTTGTGGCAACTTTTTATTGGCACTTTCTGTCCCTCCCCAGCACATACTTGTATAGCCAGAGTTACAGTATGAAGTAGGAAGATATATGGCCGCCCTGGAAGTAAGGAATGGTGACAATACCGTTGTTGGCCACACATTAGTTTCTTTGGTTGATTTGATCCTTAAGCCATTTCTAAGCTCCGAACAGTCTAAATTATTGACCGAGTCATGGAGCGATTAATGGTGTCAACCTCAAATTCCTTTAATTGATACACACATCGTTTTTCTTCGTTTATTCGTTGTATCTATCTTACGTCAGGTGTGAAGTGAAGAAATTTACCTTCTTTAATCTGATAGTTCTGGCCAACCTCAAGGCGAAGACTGTAGAGAGTAATTACGGAACACCTGGCCTTCATCCGTTTTCTTTTATTTGGATAGGCTTCGCATTACTGGTGAAGACACTGGCCGCGAATATGGTTGGGGCGGACCAGAACCACACATCGGTATTGGCATTGCTCAAATGCGAAATTTCGCAAAAGCCAACTGATGAGTCCTGTGAGTTAGGATGAAACCCAAAAATAATTTATCATAATATTCTCATGCGTTCGTTTGAAGGTGATGTCTTTTTTTACGAACCAACTGCACATGCATATCTTAGCATCAAAACTAATTTGCTGCATTTGTCAAGTTGTAATAGAAAATTGCAGTTAACTATCGTACTGTCATTTATTTATTTTACCTCCGAGGTTTAAACAATGGCTATTGTTTTACTCATAATATCTTTTTACTAATCAAACTTTTTGTCGGTCTTGCATAACACACGCAATTGGGGTGTTCACAAACCAGTCGTAATGCCGATTTAACGCAATTCCTCATATCCCTATGAACCTCGTAAAGTTCTGCTTTGAAATGTAATAAAAGACGTACAGAAAGTCTTGAGGCTGAGAATATTCAACTTCGAACTAAATTCAATAACTCGGTTTGAAAGCTTTGTGTCACAGAATAAGAATGCGACAAGGTGGTGAACCCTTAATGGGAACAGCAACACCTTCATCTTCTATTGACAGGCTTGGGTTACTCCTTCAGTTAGATTCGTTAATTCAGTTAGAACGCGAGCTCTTGGTAGGTACTCGGAAAACTTACTCTGTATTGTCTTTGTTTTTATATTCGATGCTAAGATATTGTAAAATCCAAACCATCCACTTTTGCTGTAGCTGTGTCAGAATACATTTTTTGAAGCAAGAAACGAAGAAAGACTTACCGTTACAGTCAAACTTAGATATAACGAACCTGGATATAACGAAGCACTAATTAAACTGAAGTTTGGATATAGCAAATTCACCATGATAAACCAAATTTACTCTAAACAAAATTTTTACTAACAACCCGAACACTTCGTTATATCCAGGTTTGACTGTGTTTATTTAACGCGTGATTTTGTGAATGAATCGTTTGCTGCATATAAATTAAATTAAAATCATTTACTGTATTGTGTCAGCTACCACGAATTTTTTCCTCAACAACTACCAATTTCCAGTTTGACAAATAGTTATCAAAGGGATGGCGATGAATAGTAGTTGGTTGATGAGTTTTGTGTGTATGCGGTATTTGTTAGCAAAATTGCCTTTCATTTTTTTCATTAGGTCTAAATGACATCACAAACTATTCCAATAAAGTTGAGGATGTCTACTTAATCAATGCTTATCATTCATACATTTAATAGTGCTAATTTTTTGTTCGTCTGCAAGTTCGATTTACTATGGTGCACCCAGGTATAAATCACAATTTGGCCTTTAAAAATGGTGAAAGGTACCCATGTCCGACTTTTACGGTTTTTTTTACATTTAAAGTTCATATAAAAAATCTTTTGCAATTCAAAGTATTTGATGTGACTAAGCTGGGCTCACTACAGTGTCGCGGAAAATAATGTTGACTTGTTCACAAAAAAGAAATAAATATGTAAATTATCATACGTAAATCAGGTGGTTAACATCATATGGTTTCATTTGGAAGACGTTCCATTTTTTGCTGAGTAGATTGTAGCTGGTGGAAATATGTCGTTTTTTTATTTTTTATTATCACCATTATATAACGATAATTTGTTCGATCAACGACGCGTGTTTAACAACTTTGATATTTATGAAGTGTATAATAATTTCTTGATCAACAACTCTATCGCCAAACCAATTCGTTCGATAATAGTCATTCAATACAATTTGTTTAGTGTTGTGAAATTGAACTTTTGGAGCTACCGCTACTGGAATCCAAAAGGTCCAATTAATTCGAGTATAATATAATTGGACAAAAAATTTCAAATTTGCGTTAAAGCGTGGTATCCATGTAACCTGACACGGGATAATGTGGCTGATATTCATTCCGGAAGGCGATCCGCCACTGTAGTTGGAGATCCATTTTCCGAG